AAAAAAAAAAAAAAAAAAAAAAAAACACATCTTAGTAAAATCAATACCTTCTCAACTTCGCATCGAAGCTAAAATTTTATATTGGACATTTTTTAAATTGATTAATGTAGTATAAATTTTTTTAAGATTAAGAATAACAATTAGAATTGAACAATAAATTTATATATTAGCTTTTTTCCTCGTTCCCCGCAAATGGAGAAAATATCCAAAAAAATTACAAATTTAAAAATAGGTAAATTTTGTCATTTTTTTCACTTTTTTTTCTTAAAACTTCCATAACTTTTTGAAAAATCAACAAATCAACATAATTTTTTTTTATACTAAAACCTTAGATATTTACCTTTTATTTGATATCATTTTTTTGAAAATCTATCACTTAACCTGCTCATTGGGGGGGATTTAAAATGGCAACTTTTTTACAAAAATTAATTTTTTCAACTTAATTTTTGAAAATGTTCCGGAAATACTGCGTCCTTTAAACATATATCAAATTAAAACTTATTTTATGTACTATAAAATGAAAAAAAAAAATTTGTCCCGACGATCTATCTTCTATGCGCAAATGGCTACCATATTCAAAAATATGCTATTTTAACAAATTTTTTTTTTTAATTTAACACTATCTACAGATTTGCATCGAAGCGTTTTTTATGATAGTGATTTTAATCACTGTCAGATATCATCTATACTGGACCCAACTATGCCACGACCCCACTGTGCCGCCACCCCACTGTGCTGGGTTTTTTTTTTATTTATTTCTATAATTAATTAAATTTTTTTAACACTTAATCTAACAAGTTAACTTGAGTAATTTTTGGTATTAATATGATAAATAATACTTACAAAATATTTAATGTATCAATATTTATAGCTATTGAGTGCGAGTCACTTCTTGGTGTATCTTGATGTTTACGAATGTGATTGGTTTCAAAATTAGAACATTGTAATATACCACATTGTGCACAAATTTGAAGTTCCTAAAAATAAATATAAAATTTAATTAAAAAAAAAAAGATTATAGTTATTTAGAATTGAATTGCATCCAAAACAATTGTAAACATTTGATTTAATGTGTATACATGAATTTTATAGATATCCAAATTCCTTTAAAGACCAACATCATTTTAAAACTCATACTAGTCTGAAAATTATCTTTAACATTATAATGCTAACATGTGGCGACTCAAGATTAAAAGTTTTTATGTAACTGTGTTTGTTTTTAAACGACTTATAATCTTACTAAACATTAACAATATAAGAAAATGTTTCAATTAAAAAATATAGGAAATTATATTTGAAGAATGATCTTTTATTTATTTCCTAAACCAGTAAATACAATGCAAATACCAAAATAAAAAAAAAATTATATATTTCAAGGTTGGACATAAAAAAAATAAGTTTTTAACAACTTATTAATTTGTATTAATATGCATTATTAGTAATTTTATAAAATACCTACTTCTTAATAAAATTCTAAATATTTTTATCTCATTTAAGTTTACCATCCTATGCCTATGAAATTTTTGTAGTCTTGCTGGTACTTGCATTAACTTAACTTAGTTGGATTTTGTCAATTTAACTTCTTACTTAATTTATAAAAAGAAACAGTTTAACTTTTTGTAATTAACTTAATCTTAAGAAGCTAAAAAAATCATTAACTTGCCCCGTAGATACTATATAATATTAATCTAAATAAAATAAAAACTTACTTCCAATTTACAATTTTTACAATCAGAACATAATAGTGCAATTTTTTGTAACCGTTTACGTACTGTATTTAAATTGATAGCTTTGTTCACATGAGTGCATGGATAATTAAGACCTAAATTAACAGATTCAAAAATTTGAAAACAAAGTAATACCAGGGAGACGACCAGTGGAGTTTGGTAAGAAGTATGGACTCACTGTTACTATTTTCTTTGATATTTTTTAATTCATTCGAATCTGATGAATCATTAACATTTATCAAATCTGGAACAGGTTTATTAGAACTTTGTCGATTACGTTTCTTTTTACCTTTAGCCATGACTTTAAAATTAGAAGATGAAATTTGTAGTATAAAACTCAACACTGGACGTCTAATTAAAAAAAAAATTGTGAAAAAATAACGTTATTAGAAGAATATGACGTGATACAAAAATAGATAAGGCGCTTTTAACATAATAAGAAAACTGTTCAGTACAACTTAATTTCAATAAAATCAACAAAATAATGTACCTTTACTTTCGTAGATAAACTATTATGGTATATTGACGTCACTTCAGTAATAAAATTACATTCGAATCTACTAAACTGATATTTTACACAAAATAAGACTTATTGTCTTCGTGAACAAAAGAAATAGACGAAGAATGATTATGGGGATGCGGAATACCTTCTGAAATATGTAGTAGATATCACTATTTCTTATATAAAAAGGGACAACTGACAAATAAGAATTCTATTCCACACACAATGCATCTGGTAAATCAGCTGATAACCAACAAGCAACAACTAAGTCCGATTTTGGTATGATTGTAAAACATCTTGTTATTTTTGTACTCGTGGCACATAAGTTGGTCAATCTGTTTGATTTGATTAACGTTATCAAAGATAAATAAGCCTTGACTTAAGGCGAATAAATCTTCCATGGATTGAGTATTTTTATACTATGAATATTTTCAAATCAGTCATATCACGGGAATTTATTTATTTACCAAAAATATTCCAATAAAAATAATGTAATATCTAAGCACAGTATGTAAACAATAGAAATAGATTCATCAATTTTACTCCCATAAAATAATTCAGTAAAAAAAAATTGTTTGATACATAATTTAATGTATACAAATTTACAGAAAAATATGCTACGTACTCACTTTTTAAACAAATCAGTGATATTATTAAACACATCTATTTCAATATCTAGCATATTACCATTACTCATTAAAATTACATGAAGCAACAAAAATTAGTATGTTTTACAATCATAAAAAATAAAATAATTCGCCTAGTATGTAAAGATTTCGTGTTAAGAAATTTTAAAATCTTTTCATAATAACTGTAGTATCCTACTTATTTTAAATTGGAAAGATATAGATCTTAAAAAATTATTTTTAATAATTTATAAAACACTTGTAATTATTATTATTGAATCTATTATTTCATTTAAAAATTAAATATTGGGTTTTATAAATTATAAAATACTGTTTTTATTTGAATTGTACTTATCAGACTAACTTTTCTAACATAACAAACGTATTAGTTAAACAACCATCAAATATTTTTTCTTCAAATACTAGTCTACTACTTAATCAAAACACGAGTTTGGTTCCATTTAATTCCACTTGACTCTGCGAGAGTGAGCCAGTTTATTAATGGTATATCTTATCGATAATATTAAACCATTAAATAATATCTCAGATAATATAATAGTTTTATCCTATCTATGGAATAATCATATAAAATTGATAATTGACAATAGATAACAAAATGCACGTATGTCATGGTGCAATATATTGTACAATATTTATTTTATATGATATATGAACATTGCATTATTAACTTCAGTGGAATCTGTATATGTATTCAGTATTCTATAATACTCTATGTAATAAATAGTAAACTAGTTTTACCACAGAATTGGAAAGATAAGATATTATCTATTCTGTGGTTTTACGATTGTGTGTAGTTTGATTAATTTAATTGTTAAATGTAATTTGAGCAGTATTATAATCCCGCCCAATTCTTAAAAATTTAAATAGATTTCATATTTCTTATAAACTTATTTTTAAAATTACTTAGTGTATTAACTCGTGTTGACACATATTTATATTAATAGCATCTGATTTATTACTATTTAATATTAGGATAGATGAAGATGCGACAAAAATGTTTGGTTAAAATAAAATTATTTGTTAACAATTTTCACTCGTCGAGTAACAGGTAATCTTGTTAATAATAGTATTATTATTGTAGCTATAAATTAAAAACTTACTCAAATATTCGTATTATTTTTATAAATGTTTAATTATTATCTATTGTTAGATTAAATCTGTATTTCGAAGATAGAATTTAACTTCATAAGTCAGTTTTATTATATTTGGATTTAAAAGGGTAGTATTCAGTATTATCTGTGAATCATGAACTACACTCGTTTATTAATAAATAATAATTTTGAGAAATTTTTTTTTTGTATTTTTCAATTGCATATTATTTGTGTATTATTTACTAATTAGTATTTTTTTGATTCATCCCTTGTGTATTATAGGGGTATACATTTTTTTTAAGCTTTGATTTTTTATTTGATATAATAATGTTAAATTTCGATTCATTAAATATGATACCAGTATTTATTACCAGGCTTTTTAATGATGTGCGATTGTTATTGTTAATTCTCGGGTTAATTGTAGACTGGTTTACTGGTTATCAATTTATACCAGTTTTATGTAACTGAAAAATACAAAAAAAATTCTTATTTATTTTATAAGTAATTGAGTAGATTGTGATTCATCCTGTATATAATCGTATTATAGTAAAGTTATTAATATTTTTGAAATTTTGAAAGATAGTGTATATATATATTGAGTATTTTTTAATAAATTCTTCAAAGTGTATGAGCAAACTCATAGACGGAAATAGATGAAAATTTTAGGTATATAATATGTATATTAAAATATTTTCCTATTCTAAAATACGTTTTTATATACAATACATATATTTTATAAATTTTTGGAGAATCAATGAAATTTAGGATGGTCCTTTATCTCTGCCAGTTATAGTACTATATAATTATAGAATACTCTTATAATATTAATTTACTATAACAAATAAATTATAGTATTTCAGTTATTAACTTATTGATTTTCTTTATCATTTTTAAACTTTATGGTGAAATTCAGTGGTTTTCATTAAAATTTCTGTATATACATTTTTATTTTTCTAAATAGTTTTTATTTATTGTAAATGTCATATTTAAACTTAAAATATTTTCTCTATTTATATTTAATCTGACATATCTTGTTTTTGAAAGAGAAAGTGAATGTATAAAAATTATAGTTGTTTCTACTAAGTGTATTGATGAATAAAAAAAGAGAAAGTCTTATATGTATTTCAATATATATAATAAAATATTCATAAAGAGAATTCTTTTACTACCTGAGATACCCTATAAAACATTAAAAATGTCTGTGAAATTATTTATACAGTTACTAAAGTAAAATCAAAATTGCATGCTTTAAACAAAAACATTTAAAACTGTAAAAATACTCATATCAAGTAAAAATGGTAGAGTTAAAAGTTCTGAATGTCAAAATTGGGACAGTTTTTTTAATTTTCTGAAAAAAAAACTTTTTGGTACTTGGATAGTTTAACTTAGCCATGATTTATAACAGTGATTTATTTACAATAATCTAAGGAGTTTAAGAAACACCTCATTTACATACAATCATTGTAATCAAGTGTGTTGAATGTATAAACTCTACTTTATGCTCTAAAATTGTCTGGGACCCCATATTAAAAATACATTTGCCACTGCTTCATAACAAATGTTATTTAACTTTTACTTAAAAAAAACTCATAAATAAATTTATGAATTTTCTTTAATATAATTTTTATAAATTAAATAAATATAATTTAGTCATGACTTAAATAACAAATATAAGAAATTTTTCTTTGATTATATTTGAATTTTTATAGCAATAACTATTATTTCAGTTGTAAAGCAAAGATAATTGATGGAAAAATTATAGCCAATACAATATTAAAAGAATTAAAACTTGAAACAACAGAATGGATTGCTAAAGGTCACCGAGCACCTTGTTTAGTAGCAGTTTTAGTAGGCGAGGATGCAGCTAGTAAAATTTATGTCAACAACAAAATTAAAGCTGCGAAAGTTGTTGGTTATAAGATTATATATTTAAAATTTTATGTCATTTTCAACTAACTTTTCTCTAAGATTATAAATCTTCATTAGGTATCAACACTGAAACTATTGTCTTTAAAACATCAACCAGCCAAAGTGATCTTCTTGAATGTATTAAATGTTTAAATCACAATGAAAAAGTTGATGGAATTTTAGTTCAAGTAAATTAAACACTAATTAAAATTTCAAAATTAAAGTTTTCTGAACCTTAATTTAATGATTAAGTTTTATGCGCTTTTTTTTTTAAAACATTTTTTGATTGAAAAGTTTATAGTGTATTGTACTGTTATTATTTTATGTAGTATTATGTATAATTTTATATAAATTCTATATAATTAACAGTACTTAAATCATAAGTAAAGTACAACGTTTTTTAGTTAGCTACTAAGACTTTTCATGATTAATTTTTTTAATAGAGTCTGTTTTCAATTTTATTAATAGTAATACCTTAGTTTTACTTAATGAAATATTTAGTTACCACTTCCAGACCATATTACTGAAAGAACAGTGTGCAACGCTGTTTCACCTCATAAGGATGTCGATGGTTTTAACATAGTGAACATTGGTCGTTTTTGTTTAGATATGCAATGTTTAGGTCCATGTACGCCTTTAGGTGTTCATGAATTAATCCGCCGAACAGGTAACTACAGGATGATTGTTTAGCTATGAATCACACAATATCTTTAAAAACATATATATATATATATTTATATAAACGAGTATGCTTAACGAACTTACAAAAATAGAAAATACAAGTCCAAAAGTTGTTATTGACCAATATTTATAAATGAATCATTTTCTATATTATAAGTTGGTTAAACATATATGTTTCCATTTAACAAATTGAAGTTGATAAAATTTCAAGAAAAATAGCGCTGAAATATTTTCTGAAAATTATAGAACTTAAGATACAAGAACCTAAAAAAAAATATTATGATTTATATATTTGAATATATTGTGTGAGCATAGTAAATCAATCACTGTGTAATAACAAAATCTCTATTGAACACTTAAACCATATTTCAAATTATAGGAATTCCTACTTTTGGTAAAAATGCAGTAGTATGTGGGAGATCTAAGAATGTTGGTATGCCAATTGCTATGTTACTTCATGCAGACAATGTAGGTAAGGATTGATGTGAACTAATAATATGTGTACTTTAAATCACACATATTATGTAATTTGTTTTTGAAATTTTTTTATTTTACAATATGTAAGTTCTTTGCTAACATCAATTGTATCAGTTTAATTAAAATGTTACTTTCAATTCTCAATATCCCCCAAAAAATGTGATAGCTCTATTAAATTCCATCAGGTAAAAGGTTCATATATAAACTATCAAAAGTTCAATGTTTGCAATATATTTATTTTTTCGATCATTTTTCAATTGCACTTTTTAAAAATGTATTTTGTTCACTGAGAATTCTATGATATACAATTTCTCATAACATACTCAAATTATTCGAATAAGATTTCCAATTAATATATTGTCATTGATGTCATATTGTAAGAGTTATCATGAGTAAACGTAGAGGATCCCTTATTTTGATCATTTTCGTAAAACCTTGCACCTATAATTATTTTACTTTTCTTTGATATGTCACAAATTTGATGGATAATTTTTGTTATGTCTGTTCATTATTTTTTTTATAGCACAAAAGAATTTGCAAATGAACTTTTTTGGCATGGCAGTGTCAATAACTCATTATCACTACCACTAACTGCTAGCTAAGGCTACAAGGAAGAATAAATACAATTAAAAAACTAATTGAACCCTACTCAAATGACTGACTATTATTAGTTTGAAATTTCTGTTAGATTAGTGTTGGCTCTTCTTCCTTCCTTCTGTTATTAATCATGCTAGAATATAAGTTATTGTCTTTGTTGTTATACACAATTTGTGAATGGAATAGAACCACAAATGATGATTGACCAGGATTTTTCGCCTAAGCATCCAAACTGTCAAACTCTTCAGAAACCTGATATTGTTCTGTTTAATTATATTTATGTAATAATTTACTAATTATTTTTATTTTATTTTGAATTAACTTAATTGTCTTTATGTGCAGAGAGCTTGTGTATCCTCTTTCTGTTAGCCAATGTTAAAGAGAAAGTATCAAGACCACTCCTGATGTTCTTCATTAATTTTCAAATAAAATGAATGGATGTGTTCCATTACATTAAATATAACAAACATCTATGATGATATTATATAATTTTCGTTTAAATATTTTATTTTATATTATTTTGTTGTCAACTTTTCTTTTGTAGACATAGTTTTTGATATATTCGTATTTTTTTTCTTGTGTAAGTTATGCATAAACAAAAAATTTTCATTTTTTTAATAATTCAGTTCAATTTTTTTATTAATTTTAACTATAAGGTTTCTTTTTATTATTTGAGTATCTTAAGTATTCTTTTATATTTTATTGTTATTCCTTGATCTAGAACAGGTTACGGAATTTTTTTAATTCAATGACATACAACTTTAATTAAATACCCCATTTGTGTTCCACTAATCAACCCTGATAAATATGACACCTCACTAGTCTTTTTGTGAGAGGCAAACTATGTTGTTACTACAGTCTGTCAAGTATTTTCCTCATGCAATGTACTTCAATTACTATAAACCATTATTTTAGCAGTAATGAATCATTTTATATCTGGGGAGGAAGAGAAAGCTTGTTAAGAAATAAATAAATACTTGATTTGATTTTAAAGTACATGAGAAGGAGTTAGTATTAAATATATTTATGAAAATCATAATTCATAAAAAAAGAAAACTGGTAGAAAAAGGTTTTATTTTATAATTTTTGAGATATTGAATGAGATATAATTAAGGAATCACTCTATATCTTTTAACTTGAAAAAAAATAAGATTTTATGCAATATAATAGTAGTAGAAGTATTATGTATGGTATCAAGAAGTAGCAGTATCATTGTTAAATTTTATATTTTTGTATTGTCATATTACCAAAATTTGCTTATCTTTTTTTATGTTGATTACTTATTATTTAAGTTTTTTTTAATACAAAATTATAAACATTCAATGTGAAAAACATTTCTTTTACTACACCACATATTAATACATATAGGAATCTAACAACGTCAAGTAGTGTAATATCTCAAAATAAAAAATGATAATGAGTTATTTATGTTAGATTATTCACCTCTAGAAATTCCATTAATAATCATAGACTTGATATTTTTCCAAGTAAATAATATTTTATGCAATTTAAGATTATATGCAGTACACTAAAATTGCTGCTATTCATACTTCTTCACATTTTTCAAAAAATATATTTAATTTTTTTATAACAATTGCAATGATTATTTATTATGTATTAAATCTATTTTCTAAGATTTATATCTTAGAGGTGAGATATTTTAACAGTAGAATAATCTAACTATTGTTATTCAGTTTTAATGTTGTTTGTAGGAGAAACATCAGCTATGGATGCTACAACAACTATTTGCCATAGGCATACACCGCCCGATCAATTGGCTGTATTTACAAAAAATGCTGATATAATTGTTTCTGCCGCTGGTATTAAATTGCTTTAAAATATATTTATAAATTAATGAATTAAGATATTTTTTAGGTGTTCCTAATTTAATTCGTGCTGATATGATCAAACCAGGAGCTGCTATAATAGATGTTGGAATAACAAGAATGTTTGATGAACAAACTTCTAAATCTTATTTAGTAGGTGATGTAGATTTTAATAGTGTCAGAAAAGTAGCTGGCTATATAACTCCAGTACCAGGAGGTGTTGGTCCAATGACGGTTGCAATGTTAATGCGTAATACAGTAGCAGCAGCTAAGAAAACTGTGATCTATAATATACTTGATCCTGAAGCAGTCATTTACAAGCAAGCATCTCAAATAAAACCATGAAAACATTAGTTTTATTGAGATAGATGATAAGAATCCTTCATTATTATTATTTGATGTACTAACATCAAAACTATTTTCTATTTGTTATTTTTAACAATTCTATGTGTTTTTTATATGTCTGTCTAATTGTTTTAATTTTTTACAATTTAAGTTTTAATTATCTAGATAAACTAGATAAATAAAATAATTATGAGATAAAAAAAATTGTGCAATAAACTATTAGACTTATTTATTTGTTGAAATTAATGATTTTTAAAATTTATAACTCACTTCAATGATTTATTGGTGATTTATTTTACAAAAAAATATTGTAATAAATATATTTCCATTTTTGAAAAATAAGGCATATGCATAAACAATAAAAAACTAGTATTTTTTTTTAAAGTTTTACAGCATGTGACAGTATTGAAATTTTTACTACTTTCCTTAATGAATGTGGCCTCATTTTTGCTAATATCAAATATAAAAATATATAAAAAGATCTTTCATTACGATATTATCGTCATAAAATTTTATAGACTAATAAAGTAATCATTAGTCAACAATTTTAAAAACACCACTCATTTTTTAATGATATATTATAGAATTCTAAATTTATGATTTTCAAGTAATAAACCCCATATGAGTATATGTTGTATTATTTCATTCACCATCACAAAAATAATTCTGTTTTTTTTTTTAATATTTCTAGCCAGATATTATCATACTTTCTCAAGAAATAGTTATAAAAACCATTAATTAAAAATATTGTAGAATTAATTTTGAAATTTAATCTAATTTGGAATTAAATTATTTGTATACACTGTTGAAACGGTTTAAACTTATAATTAGTAATAAAAATCATGTTATTTCAGGTGAATATTTATTTGTTCTAAATACTAATTATAATTAAAACAAGTTTTGTGATACAATTTACAAAATAAAATGTAACTATATTAAGTGTGTTTATGTTTTACTTAGTGTCTGTGATCCTATAATTGTTATGTGTTTATATCAGAGTTACAAAATTATTATTGTATGTTATTGTTTGATTTATTTACTATTTTTTCTTGATTATACATTCGTTTTAAAATTGGAATCCTATAAATGCAATAGAATAATTTATTTAAAACATATTAACATGATTATTATGGATGATTTGATTAAATCAAGTAGTGAAAATGAATAACATTATGATAGGAGATAAGAGCGTCTATACTCTTCCATAGAACACATAAACAGGGCTGAGGGTAGTGATCACGGACTTAATATAAATTAAATTAATGACTTTATTTTTGCTTAAGATTTTTTAAAAAGTAACTTTGACAATGCTGGTGCAAGGCCGGAGTGAACTAGTCACGTGCCCAAGGTCCCACACATGGCGCATTTAGTAATAATTTGTGTTTTGGGAAGGAATATATATAAGAAAAATTTTTATTTCTCCTTACAAACGAAAAAAATTGTATTTTTATTATGTCATTATTATTAATGGGGGAATCTATCCCATTTCAACTCCATCCTTTCTGGTACGATGCTCCGCAATTACGATTTTATATGGCTTCATAATATTACATCCATAAAACTTAGCACTGGCACTACTGTAAAAATTATTTAAACAAAAGTCGAAAAATATTTGCTAAATAAAAAATTGTGAGATTTGACAAGACATCGTGGGCTATTCTGTAAAAATAGTGTCTCAGATCTACCTGACAACACTTCTTAATTTATGATATAATTATCATTTTGTTGACATTTTTTAGAAATAATTGTTGCTGTTGTTTAAAACATATTTTTTATTACATATTATTAATATTTATGCATATTATGTTTTGAGAATATTTTATACAAATTTCAGAAACTATTTGTGGCATAGCAGGGCAAAGAACTAAGTACCGAAAATTAAAAAAAAAATTTTATTACATCAAATTAATCAGTGTGTCCATGCTAATACTGTCAATGGCTTCGCATGGGAAAATGTAATGGTTCTTTATCGACTTATAGAAAAAATTTGTTATTTAGATCACTTGGCTCTATCACCCCTTATTTGGTGTATATTTTAAAGGTTTATTAGCATAATATTTTAAGGGATTCAAACATCTAAAAGTTCGTTGTCTAATTATTATACTTCGATTATAAAAAGAAACGCAGGGCAGAATTTTTTAGATGATAACCATGTATATATTCAAATTTCTATCAGACCCCACAATTATGTGTTATAGCTCTCCTCTCTTATATATGTAAGACAAAATTTTTATTAATATTATGTTAATAAATGCAATTGAATTACCTTTAATAGTTGCATTTTACCATTTAAAGATGACATCTTTCCCATGTGTTGAAAAAGTGAAGGGTTAATTTTTATCCAAATGGTATCTTTCCTTTTTTGACAATCTTTCTAAATTAAAAAACATTATTAAGATGATACTATGTAAAATCAATCATATTTCTAATAAAATAGGTTTTATAACCATATAACTTTGAATTTGAGGAAAAAATTCCAATAAAAATAGTCTACTAATTACACTATCTATTTGATGTAGGATCAAACCAGATATTAAATTATGATATAAAAACTATTTGCGAAGGCTATGATCATAGGCATGTGTAGATTTCAATATCCGTCAGAGTCCGAAAATAATGTATACCCCAATAATTGAAGCATAGACTAAGGAGAGAAAGGTTCATTCTTCACATTAGAGGTAGAGATAGAATAAAATCTTTGAAATAGAAGCTACTGAAGTATTTAAATATTTTTCCTAAATCTACATATGTTTTTATAACAATAATTCAATTTTTCTATATTTTTTTAGGACTTAGCTAAGCCTTCACAAAATTCCACCAATGTTCCTCACACAAAAGTTATATATACTGTTATAAATAGATATTTTTCGGGGAATGGAAAATTTAATTTAACTCCTTCCCTTAAATTTTATTTCAAATTACCCTTGTGCATCTCTTTTAATTATATTTGTGTTAAGTTAACATACATTATAAATTTTATAAATGTAGAATCAAATTAAATGTACATACAACATTTAATAATTCAAAATTGAAGACAACATTTTAAGTTAAAATTAAATTTCTAGATGCTTTTAATTTTGTTATTTTATTACTATAAAGCAAATATATCATAATAAGTAGAACTTGATTTCAACTGCAAAAATTTCCAAATTCTTGCTTGTTACAAAAATAATGATCAAAAAAATTGTGTTAACTTTTATGTAAATGCCTCTGGGACTATAATAGACAAATTTGACACTTAGTATAATTCTCTAATAATTTTACTAATTATACGGTCTAATAATAAAGTATGTACATAAAATGTATTATTCTTCACAAAAATTATCACTAAAGCTCAGGCATTACTACTGACACTTCCCGTGTGCGCGTCTATGTACATGATAGGTGTGATCCCCCCTTGAATTTACTACTTATTGAAGTAGTCTGTGAAAAATCAGAATAACTCTATTTATCAAATATTTTTTGGAAGCTACAAAAACTAGACATTTTTAACATGAGTTCCTACCGATAAGAAAATTTAAAAACGATATAGTTTTCATAATATACAGCGTGATTTATTAAGTATACTACCCCCCATTTTTTCGTTAAATAATGATTTTTTTTCCATAGCGTACAGATAAATAGTCTTCGTTGCCCATTCCGCTCGCTTATTCCAAAAAATTATAACAACTCAAAAAGTAGTAACACAATACTGATTATTGACCTATCAACATTTTATTTGAACTATTCTCCATTCAATAATAAAAAATAATAATTAGTTCCCATTTCATTTTTAAAAGTTACCCTAAATTCTACACTTAGAAATCATTTTTCATAGATTAAACTTGACATATTGTAAATTTCAAGTTTAATCTATGAAAAAATGTTTATAAAAATAGCTTACATTTTTATTAAAATATCGTTATTTAATGAAAAATGAGGAATAATAAATTAATAAATCACTCTTGTATATTATAACTATTTTTATCTAGGATTGTGTATTCAATATTCTTATTTTAATAAAGAACCGTAAAAATCATTTGTACAAGAGGTGAATTGAAGAATAAAAAACGTTGTTATGACGGGACAAGGCATATAGACACCAGTATAGTATTGAAATCTAATTGCCTCAAATTTTTTTTTTTAATAAAAGAAAATTAATTTGCTTTTTTGATTTGTCTAAAGAGTAAACAAAACTATTTAAATTCAATAAAAAGTTTATTAAGAAATATCCACCAGGAACTTTGTGGCCTCTGTATATTTATAAGCGCTAACTTTGAATAAAAAAAATATAGATACAAACTGAATCTTTTTCTAAGTTACAGATTTTTGTTTCTAACAATTTTTCTAGTAACCAATCTCCTGGTTGTTCGCTATAAAACATAACAATGAATTTTATCAGCCAAGGTAGGTCTTCGTTTTTAAACATCTTTCCTAATGTTATACAAATTAAAATCGTGTAATAATTATATGTATTATATTTCAAGTTGTATAAATTATACCAATAAATCCTAGCCGACAAAAGTCTAATATAAACCAGTTAATTTTCTTTATTGCTTTAAGTTGTGCTTTTGATTTCATAATAGATTGAAAATGAGGCTTGGCTATAATATCATCTTCTAGTTGAACGTAAAATGATCCTTTTGACCAACAGTACATCATTAGTAGAGCATAGTCTAAATTCTGCTTGCTTCTCCAGCGAACTCTCTCTTTAGTATCACCATGAGTTAATTGTAATTTATCAAAGTCAGGATAAAAATTTGATTGTGGCGCTATTAAATCAATAAGGCCACTTTCAAATTCGTTCGGCAATCTAAAAAATATATTTTATTTCAACAAAGTCTTTAATTATATAAGTATTTTTGTATGACAATGTAACATGTCCAAAATATGTTATAGACTTAGAATTCTTTAATTAGTCTCATTAAAAGATAACTCTGTAATGGTTTAAGTTAAATAACAGTTTATCTGGCAAATTTTAACTCTATTCCATTCGTTTGAAATAATTTTTTTTTTTTAATTAAAAACTTATAAATATAATTACAGTTGATCAATTATACAGTTATCATTGGATATATAAATACAAATATTTGCATAATTACTTTTTTGTATTCAAAATATAATTTCATCGATTATTTTAGAAAAAATAAGTTTTTTATACACCATAAAAATTTTTACAAAACTTAAATTTTCGAAAAATGATCACACAACACTACAAAATTTGTTCATTTTTTAGTAATGAAAATTTTTCTCTTGCTCCAATATTTAGATGAATTTTATATTATATTTTAACTCTGATTCCGAATCTGACTTCAGATTTTTTTCAGCATATCCATTTTCGAGATAATTACTAATTAATAACTAAGCATTAATAAGTTCATAAACAGTTCATAAAAATCATCACAAAAAATTTTTTTTAAACTTTTCTCACAATAATTTAATGTTGTTAAATAAAAGTTATTAAAATTTTGGATTGTCGTATAGTTTTTTGTTAGTTTGAAAAAAAAATATTAACTGACTTATGTATTTTTAAAAGGTTAATACAATAATGTAAATAGATTTGGAGTATGACAATTATTAACAATATTTAGTTGATTTTTTAAACTTCCAAACTGTGTAAACGATTATCACTAAAAAACGGTAGCACAGTGGGGTCGAGGCACAGTGTAGACGAGGCATAGAAGGGATAAGTATAGATGATATTTGACAGTGATTAAAATCACTATCATAAGAAACGCTTCGATGCAAATCTGTAGATAGTGTTTCATTTAGAGAAATTGGTGGATTATTCCAAAAGCAACATCAACTCTTATTTCTTTGATTATATCCTAATTAGTAATTCTTTGATTTTAAAATATAATATATGAATAAATACTAATTATAATTATTAAATTTAGTATGAAAATAAAAAAGTAAAAAAAATTTAATAAGTTTAATTTCTTATGTCTTATGACCTTTATTCTATGTCAATTAAATTATATAATATTCATGAAAGTCAATATATTCTCCTAATAAGATATTTTAAAATAAAATAAAATACAAAACCTAGAATTTTAATAGAAAAATAGCATATTTTTGAATACGGTAGCTATTTGCGCATAGAAAATAGGTCGTTGGGACAAATTTTTTTTTTCATTATATAGTACATAAAATAAACTTTAATTTGATATATGTTTAAAGGACGCAGTATTTCCTAGATATTCAAGGAATACAAGGGTCCAAAATTGTTGGCCCCTCCAAAAAACATTTTCTGGCTATGTGCCTGGGTAGCAGACACAAAAAAAAAACAAATCATAGTAAAACCGATACCTTCTCAGCTTCGCATCGAAGCTAAAATCTTATAAAAATAAAATTGAAGTTTTTCGAATTTTTGAGATTTACGTGTAATTGTGTATAGTCACTTCGCCAGACTTTTCATTGCGAAAAAACAAGTTACATTTTCCTGTAGCCCTTCATACTGAAGTACAAGATACAATTAAACATATACTATAAATTGTACTTTTTATAATATTTGAACAAAACATTAGGTGATTATAAAAAATTTTTCTTATAAAGTTATGAAAAAATTTCTTCAACCCCTTCTCATAAAAGTACTGACTACGTCACTGAATTAGACATTATATATACTTTTATATATATATTTTTTTTTTATAAAACGACTTACCTTGTTTTTATTTCTGTAGTTATTTGTTGCAAATATGTATTATTCGTCTATATAAAAAAATTAAACATTGTACATAACATTTAAAAAAATTTAATTTTTAAACAAATTTTAGTATAAAATTATAATAATATTATAATCACATTTAACACTTATATTTAGCTATTAAAATTATTTTATTATGATGAAATAACATCTTAATGAAAAAAATGACACTGTAGTGTATAATTATAAAATTATTGATTCATTAAATTTAATCGAGGTCAATGCGAATTGTTATTTTCGATAATTTATAATGAATAGTTCATAGGATATACAATATATATAAATTTGATTAGTTATACTAATAAATTTACTCATATTTTCATGTGTATAGTTAGTATAATTTATGATGGGACCAAGTTCCCTCCAGTTCCTAGATTGACCTATGCATACTTTACTAAATTTTAACTTTGTAAATGCCAATGCGAGTTAGTTTATTGAACACTACATATTTCGTATTAATTTTAGTTTTTAGACATTTCCTTTTAAAAATAATATATTCCATAATTGAAAAAAAGAAATGTATTCCCATTCGAAATTAAAAAAAAAACAAAAATACATAAACCTTTACATTTATTGATAACTTGGATTCGTGTGCATTCCGAAGATTTTTTGTTATAAAATTGGACTTACTAAATAGGTTTTTCGATAAAAATATTGCATTACCTATTTTTTGGAAAGGTTAAGTTCAGATAATAACAATTTTATAATTTGAGGCGCTGACATTGGAAAGGTAATACATTTCAAAAACTAAATTGAAACTAATTAAACTAAATAGGAGAATGAAAAAACAGTTTATCTTAATTGCGTGGACTTAGAAGAAGCGTATTTTTGTTTTCAAGATGTCTTATTCTATACATAAATTTTTTCATCAGATTATTAGGATATTTATTCATTATGTTTTTTTTAAAAAAAGAAAAATGTATTTTTTGTGACTTGGTACCATGTAATCGCCTCATTTTATAAATAAATTTAATATTAATAAATATGATATTACAAAATTATTAAAAAAAAACTACTAGTAATTTTTTTTTTATAATAATTATAGAGATACTAATTTGTAGCTATTTTAGTTTTTAAAATATGGGTAAGAGATTAGTGCTAAATCTAGTTCTGTGACAACAATTGTTGATTATACTTATCTAATTTCACAGACTGATCATCACTAAGATTTACTATATAATTGTTAGAGTTTTTGTTAAAAGATTGTCATTTTTATAATTTTGTTTGAAATGAGGAGTTTACATTAACGTTTCATTAAAAATTAAATGTATTTGAATTCATCATTCCTTAAAATTCGTGTGAAAGTACACATCAATAGATTCCATGGAATTCAAATAATGCAATTAAAATGTATTATTTTAATACACTGGTAAATTTTCACTAAAACGTTTTTATAGGTTTGTTACTATAATAAAAATAATGGTGGAATATATTCTGTCATTAAATAAATTAGGCGTATCTATCAATTTTTATTCAAATCGATACTTCAGTTTTAATCTATAGATATTTTTACACTTTCGTTATAGACTCTGTATCAAAAATGTTTCTCAAATTATGCTAAATTAAAGTAAAACCCATAGTATGCATTTTTTATCTCAAGTTTAGATATCATCTAAAATATATTCGTCATTTATTTATAAAAGTATATTGTGAGTAATTGTTTAAATAATTATTTGAAGTCAATGTTGAATCCAGATATACTTCAGGGGGACTAGAACCCCTGGCATTACGAAAACCCCTCGACGAAGATAATATAGCTATTTTCGAAATTTGACGTGTTGTTTAAATTTATTGATTGCGATATGAGGACAGCTGATGTGAAGAAGAAAGATGAAGAAGTCGTGTTATTTAAATTATTATTTAGTTTCATTTTTTCAGTGACAAAAACATTTTTTTGTACTGATTGAACGAAAGGCCCTTAGAAAGAATGTCTTCTTCTTCTTCTTCTTCCTAACTTTTATCCTCACTACTTGGAATCAGCCACCCTTATCCTAAACTACAACTTGACACGATCTCTCACATCAGCCTATCTCATATCGCATTCAATAACATCTCTCCATCTCTTTTTTGATCTTTTTCTACCTCTTCTTCCTTCAACATTCATTTCTACAACTGTTCTTACGGCTTCCGATTCTTCTTTTTCAAAACATGACTAAACCACCTAAGTCTTTTTTCTCTATTCTTATCCACGATTGACACTACACCTATACTCCCTCTCATATGCTCATTTCTTATATTATATTCTCTAGTCGCTCCACTCATCCATCTAAGCATTCTCATCTCTGTTACAATCATTCTCTGCTCTACTTTCTTATCAACCTCCCAACATCATAACTGGCCTTATTACAGTCTTGTAGACTTTACCTTTTAGCCTAATTTGAATTCTTTTATCGCATAAGACACCAGACTCTTCTCTCTACTTCAACCATCCGCACTTAATCCTGTGTTTTACATCCTCGTCAATACCACCGTTATTTTGCACTGATCCTAAATACTTAAAACTCTCCACCTCTCCAACCACGTTCTCGCATATTGTCACTGACCTCCTCATTTCACCTACCTCGTGTTCTCCTTCGTCAAACTCGTACTCTATACACTCTGTCTTACTTCTATTTATTCTTAAACCCTTTTCTTCAAGAGCTAATTTTATTATAATTTTTCAAAGTACTCTTTCCATCTTTTTTTCATATCATCATCACTCGCGAGTACCTTATTACCAACACATTTTATACACTCTATATAATGATAATCTTTAGACCTTTTCTCTCTTATCTTTGCAAGTCTATAGATTTCTTTCTCGCCTTCCTTTGTTCCTAGCCTATCATACAACTCATTATACCTCTTAAACTTCGCCTTACTGCACACTTGGCTTCTTCGCACAAGCGTTTATACTCCATCCAGTCTGCTCTCCATTTGCTCTTCTACCATACTTTGAATTGCTTTTTCTTATTTTCTATGATTTTTTGAACGTCCTCATCCCACCACCAGGTCTCCTTGTTTCCTGGCATTCTACTCCTACTCTCACCAACAACCTCCTTCGCAGTATTCTTTACACAACTAGCAAATCTATTCCACACATCATTTATGTCTCCCTCGACATTCCACACCGTCCTCTATTTTACCGTCTTTATCACAATATATGTATAATAATAGGTATACAACTAAATAATTTAATTTTTACATATCGGTACAGTTTTAGCTTCGATGCGAAGCTGAGAAGGTATTGGTTTTACTATGATGTATTATTTTTTTTTTTGTGTCTGTTACCACTTTTTCTCAGCTCTCACCGAACGGATTTCTTTCAACGATACGTCAAAAGATCACAAATCGTATCTAGTCGAAGACATTACCCTCAAAAATTGAAAAAAATTCCCTCGTTCCCCGTAAATGGAAGAAACATCCAAAAAAATTATAAATTTAAAATCGCTAATTTTCGAAATTTTTTCTACTTAAAATTGCCATAACTTTCTTAAAAATGAACAAATCAATAAAAAAATTTTTTTTATAAATGCTTGATGTCTTTACTTATCATTTGGTATATTTTTTTTGTAAATTTGACCCTTTATCTGCCCATAGAGGGGGATTTAAAATGACAACTTTTTCACAAAAAATTTACTTTTTCAACTTAACTTTTGAAAATGTTCCGGAAGGTCTGACACTTTTATATATATCTTAAATTAAAGCTAATGTAATATACTTGAATTTGAAAAAAAAAAAAATTGACCTCTAGACTTGTCTTCACGGCAAAAATGGCTACCCAATGCTATTTTCGTGTGAAAATTTTCTGTGATCTATTCCTCCCACTCTTATATGTTATATAATGTTCATCCCTCTTTCTAAAATAAATATTAACCACAGCAAGATCATGCGTTATTGCAAATCCAGTATTCTTTCTCCAGCCTCATTCTTCCCAGTAAAACCATATCCTCCATGTACTCTTTCATATCCTCTTCTCTCATTACCTATATGTCCATTCATATCTCCAACTATCACCACATCCTTATTGTCAAGTATCTCTTGCATCACCTCACCCATCTCTCGCCAAAACTCTCCCTTGTCTATTTCATTACATCCCTTTTGTTGTGCATAGGCACTTATCACATACAGCACTTTTTCTTCGAATATTAATTTTACGACCATAATTCTGTCACTTCTCCTAGCTACTTCTACTGCTTTACTTTTCATCTCCTCATCCATTATTATCCCTACACCATTCTTTGTACTAAACTTGCCAGAGTATATTATTTTATAACCCTCACCTATTTCCCTGATTTCTCTCCTTTCCACTTAGTTTCCTGCACTCAACAAATGTTAACTTTTCTCCTCCTCAATACTTCTACTAATTCTCTACTTCTACCAGTTAATGTTCCAACATTCCAAGTAACTATTCTTATTTTGTATCTATATTTCTCCCTTATACACGAGTCCAGCCTAGAGTTAAGTTATGATGTCCCTACGCCGTTGACACTACCCAAGCGTTGAGTATATCTGTACACATGACTAATGAAACAGCTAGTGCACAAGTTGTTCGGCTGGTATCAAACACTTTATTCCTTGGGCCTTCTCCGTTTTTAACTACTTTCTGTTGTCCCCGCGTACATCCGAGATGAGACAATCCGCCTAAGTCTTGTTAAGGATTCCTCATACTTTTTTGACAAAGATTTTTACGTCGGCTGTCGATCTGACACAACTTCATTAATCATCTCTTACGACTGGCAGAGGAGCCGTAAAAGTATTCTTATCCCCTATCCACAGGGAACTTAGAAAGAATGTCTAATTTTATTATAATTGGAGCTAAATGTGTTTTTATTTTAAGATCAAGTTACGCTTATATCTTTACCTCTCCAATCATAACCACTATTAATGAGTCTTTTCGTTCATTGTGATCCATGTTATTAATTAAATTAACTAAGGTAGACATCAAATATGTATTTTTTTGTCGCTGTACAGTTGGTATACCAAAAATAATTGATGCTGTAACAAATTAAATTAAAAAAAAAACAAGTCTCAAAATAAATCATCTGATAAATAAAACCTTAATTTAGCCAAATATTTGTTATTCAGTTTACACCTTACAATATGCTTATGAAAAATGAAAAATGATTGAATGCTAGCAGGTCATTACTTATTTGCTTTGAATCCCAATTCATTTATAATTTTTAAGAAGTCTTCAGGTTTATCCTCACAGGGAATGGAATCATATATTTTTATAGGTTCGGTTTTAAGTACTTTACAAAATATTTTAAAGTAACAGTTTGAATCGAGTTCTTTTCATATTTTAAATATAAGTTCCGGTTTTAATTTATAACAAGTTAGATGAAAGCTTCTAAAAATTAATTTAATCATAAGCTAGAGTTGTTCTCAGGATTTTGCCTTGAAGGGGATATGCATAAGAAATTTTTACTATGCCATCCACAATATATGTTCACGATTTTTGTAATAGATTTTCTATCCCACATATTCCCCTCTCAAAATTCAGATAAACCATTAATTGTACTACTAATTAAAAATATTTTTAAGGGTGAGATGAAAATTAAATTTAACTCTAGTGACGCTACGAAATCACTTACTCTACACTTATGGGGAAGAAGAAATTGTCACTAAAATAAAAATAATTTGATTTAAAAATAATTTTTTGCTATTAAGGGTTAATACAAATTTTCTCGTTGAAATAAAAAAAAAATAATAATAATAATTATTGTATAATTATACTAAATATGAAAGTAGTTTAAATGTTAGTCTACTAATGAAAAACTATAATTAAAAGTGGTTGAAAAGAAACAAATTATATTGTTAAAAAAACTTACAGTTAATGTAAGATGTTCAGTAAGTAAGAAAACGGATTTCTATTGTTTATAACAATTGGCTTGTTGTCTTACTTACTAAAGACTCTTTATATTAATTAATATTTAATTTATTAAATTAAATTAATTGATGATACAATATAAGAATCATTTTAAGAATAAAATAAAATAACTTTTAAAAAATCTTAATTATTAAAGGTTCTAGTTTGATCAGTGTATTTTTCTTTTTGAGAATAAAATTTTTTATTTCTGTTTGACATTAAAATAATAAAAAGGTTCTGCTTCAAGTTCATTCTGGAATAACGGAAAAACTCGATTTGCTTCTTTAAATGAACTCTTGTATTTCAATAAGTGATTTTATTAATTTTTTTAACTTTATGAACCTTTTGTTAAATGAATACGAAAACTCATTGAGCTATCATAATTATAATTGATGAGCTAAATTCAATAACTGCATGATGTAATATTAAAAAAAATAAAATAATAATATTTATACCAATTTTATTTTAAGTTACCTGAAGTTCTTCCTCCGCCGTGAAGAATTAAAGGATACCAACTATTAGTATTTGGATTTAAATGTGGTAAAAAAGTGTATACATTAAGATTTTCTATTGATGTATTATAAGTTTCAATTGAATTATTGTAAGCTAATATGAACGTTTCTAATTCATTATTAATTGTTAAGTTCAACATATTTATTAGAGTTTTAATGGAATGACTAAACTTCTTTACATTTTCTTGTAAATTTATATCTTTTGATTGATAAAACTCTTTATGATTCGGTACTTGTTTTTTCGTGATAAAATTTTCTTTTGAACAAAAATTTTTATCTAAAAAATATCATAAAGAATTATTTGAAAAAAAGCTTAAACTTTTAATTTTTAAGAAAATAAATTTATCCTCGTCTTTGTGATAAGAGGGGGCTAAGTCTACTTGCGTCCATATACATTTTAAGCATTCTATATTTTTATCATTAAATTAAACATGTATAATTTTTTTAAAATACTAAAAAAATAATTGTTTTCTGTATTATGGGCAATGGTCTAGTCTTTATTGTATTATATATGTGCCTTTGGTATCTAATAATGTTGTTCTGCATCTACATTCTAAACAGAAAAAGAATTTTCACATACATATATTAGACCGTTTTATCACATATAAGTTAAGGGAAAATTCGAATAATTATTAATAACGAATTTTTGATATTTTATGTCGAAATTACACACTTGTATGTAAAAAACGAGTATATAAAAAATGTACAGACATATGGGAACTTTGGGAACATTTCTAACAGTGCACTTGCATATTAATTATTCATAAAAATTTTTCTATGGCTACCCAAATATGCAACGAAAAAAAAAATAACGACCTTAGAAACATACATTTCTATATGTTTCATAGAAATATTAATTTTTAAAAATGTTACTCTCATTATACTGCGTAGGTATTGTATGTCAAAGCTATGAAGATAATAACATACCTACCTGATTTACTATTGGTTTTTTACTTGTTGCAAAAATATTATTTAAAAAAATTATTTGTAAAAAAAAAAAAGTTAAATTTCTAAATTAAAATATGAATTGAAGTTCACGCACTGTTAATACAATAAGTATGTTCTCAAAAAATTTCAATTTAGGTTTATCAACTATAAAGTCTTGATATTCCATAAGTCTTATATTGTGTGTTAATTTTTTTTTTATTTAAAATTTTATTTATGTCATTTTTGATAGATAATGTTTACATAATAAGGAAAAGTAAAAAAAAAAAACAAGCACAGGGGGGTCGCATCACAGTGGTGCCGTAGTGTAGTTGGATCAAGTATAATGATATCTGACAGTGATTAAAATCACTATCAAAAATAAACGCTTCGATGAAAATCTTTAGATAGTGTTTAATTTTAAAAAATTGGTGGATTATTCCAAAAGCTACATGATCTGCTAGTTCCTTATTAATATCTTAATTAAGATAAAGTATGTCGAATGAAAAAGGGATTATTAAAAAATATCATTGTTATTATTATCTCATGAAAAAATTGTGTTGTTTGACCTGGAGTCAAATTGAGGTCAAATGTATTTTTTTAAATTAAAGTATGAGTTGCTATTTGATACTCAAACAAGCAACACGTTTGTTTCGCTCTCGCTTCTGAGTTAAACGTGTAGTGTCTGTTATAAAAATTTGTTTATAAATTGTTTACAATGCATGCCGCGGACATTCGAACGACTGGTAAGTGTTTTAAACAAGCTAATTATTAAGTGGGTCGCACGTGCGACAGATCATATTTCAACAAACGGAATTAACTATGGATAGCGACGGCAATTCACCGTATGCTAACGTAACTTCAGCTCAAGTATTTTACAACAAATGAAGCTGATAATGAAATGTTAAAAAAAGTCGCGGAACTGCGTGAGAGCAATGAAAAATTACAAAAAAAACTTTTTGAAATGAATCAAGGAGCCTCTGATATAATTATAAGCTCACCTAAGAAAACGATTCAATTATCAAAGGAAATCGCGAGTATTTCGCGAGTATTTTCGCGGTGTTACCGACGTAAAAAAGTTTATTAGCAACTTGACATTAGAAGAGGCTAAGGATGATGAACAACTTGTCAGAACCTTAGCTAATGATGATATTAAGGTTTTAACGAATGACGAACATCAGTTTCGTCGAACAGTGAAAATTTTAGAAAAGCAAAATATTAAATACCATCGATACCAGCTTAAAACTGAAAAAAAGCGGTTTAAAGCGGTGATTAGAGGTTTACAACCTCAGAATGACATTTGTAATATTAAAAGAGAGTTAGCTGACTTAGGTCACCTGGCTCATAATATTACAAATGTTCAAATAAAAAAGAAAAAAATCAAAATAACAAAAACAGTGATTGGATACACATTAGACTGCCATAGTTTTTTGAAGAGTTAGAACAACAAACAAAAAAACCCAGCACAGGGGGGTTGCGGCACAGTGATACCATGGTATAGTTGGATAAAGTATAGTGATATCTCATAGTGATTAAAATCACTATCAAAAATAGACGCTTCGATGCAAATCTTTAGATTGTGTTTAATTTTAAAAAAATTGGTGTATTATTCCATAAGCTACTTGATCTGCTAGTTCCTTATTATTATCTTGATTAAGATAAAGTATGTCGAATGAAAAAGGGATTATTAAAAAATATTATTTCTCATAAAAAAATTTTGTTGATCCATACACTTTTCAATAAGTTATAGCATTATAAAGTTAAAAATATAAAAAATAAAATCGAGAATTTTCACACGAAAATAGCATTTGGTAGCCATTTTTGCCGTGAAGACAAGTCTAGGGTCAATTTTTTTTTTTTTAATTTAAGTATATTACATAAGCTTTAATTTAAGATATATATAAAAGTGTCAGACCTTCCGGAACATTTTCAAAAGTTAAGTTGAAAAAGTTCTACTTTTTATATGCATTTTTTATATTTGAAGCCCCCCCATATATAGGGAAATAGTCTGATTTAAAAAAAAAGTATATCCAATGAAAGATGTATATAAATACTACTTCTCATGAAAAAATTGTATTGATCCATACATTTTTTAAAAAGTTATAGCACTTTAAAGTAAAAAATGTAAATTATAAAATCGAAAATTTTCACACAAAAATAGCATTCGGTAGCCGTTTTCACCATGAAGACAAGTCCAGAGGTCAAATTTTTTTTTTTCAAATTAAAGTACATTACATTAGCTTTAATTTAAGATATATATAAAAGTGTCAGACCTTCCGGAACATTTTCAAAAGTTAAGTTGAAAAAGTTAATTTTTTGTGAAAAAGTTGTCATTTTAAATCCCCCCCTGTGGGCAGATAAAAGGTCAAATTTACAAAAAAAATATACCAAATGATAGGTAAAGACATCAAGCATCTATATAAAAAAAAATTATATTGATATGTTCATTTTTGAAAAAGTTACGGCAGTTTTTAGTAAAAAAAATTGAAAAAATTTCGAAAATTAGCGATTTTTAAATTTGTAATTTTTTTGGAGGTTTCCCCCATTTACGGGGAACGAGGGAAATTTTTTCAATTTTGAAGGGTAATGTCTTCGACTAGATACGATTTGTGATCTTTTGACGTATCGTTGAAAGAAATCCGTTCGGTGAGAGCTGAGAAAAAGTGGTAACAGACACAAAAAAAAAAATAATACATCATAGTAAAACCAATACCTTCTCAGCTTCGCATCGAAGCTAAAACTGTACCGATATGTAAAAATTAAATTATTTAGTTGTATACCTATTATTATACATATATTGTGATAAAGACGGTAAAATAGAGGACGGTGTGGAATGTCGAGGGAGACATAAATGATGTGTGGAATAGATTTGCTAGTTGTGTAAAGAATACTGCGAAGGAGGTTGTTGGTGAGAGTAGGAGTAGAATGCCAGGAAACAAGGAGACCTGGTGGTGGGATGAGGACGTTCAAAAAATCATAGAAAATAAGAAAAAGCAATTCAAAGTATGGCAGAAGAGCAAATGGAGAGCAGACTGGATGGAGTATAAACGATTGTGCGAAGAAGCCAAGTGTGCAGTAAGGCGAAGTTTAAGAGGTATAATGAGTTGTATGATAGGCTAGGAACAAAGGAAGGCGAGAAAGAAATCTATAGACTTGCAAAGATAAGAGAGAAAAGGTCTAAAGATTATCATTATATAGAGTGTATAAAATGTGTTGGTAATAAGGTACTCGCGAGTGATGATGATATGAAAAAAAGATGGAAAGAGTACTTTGAAAAATTATAATAAAATTAGCTCTTGAAGAAAAGGGTTTAAGAATAAATAGAAGTAAGACAGAGTGTATAGAGTACGAGTTTGACGAAGGAGAACACGAGGTAGGTGAAATGAGGAGGTCAGTGACAATATGCGAGAACGTGGTTGGAGAGGTGGAGAGTTTTAAGTATTTAGGATCAGTGCAAAATAACGGTGGTATTGACGAGGATGTAAAACACAGGATTAAGTGCGGATGGTTGAAGTAGAGAGAAGAGTCTGGTGTCTTATGCGATAAAAGAATTCAAATTAGGCTAAAAGGTAAAGTCTACAAGACTGTAATAAGGCCAGTTATGATGTTGGGAGGTTGATAAGAAAGTAGAGCAGAGAATGATTGTAACAGAGATGAGAATGCTTAGATGGATGAGTGGAGCGACTAGAGAATATAATATAAGAAATGAGCATATGAGAGGGAGTATAGGTGTAGTGTCAATCGTGGATAAGAATAGAGAAAAAAGACTTAGGTGGTTTAGTCATGTTTTGAAAAAGAAGAATCGGAAGCCGTAAGAACAGTTGTAGAAATGAATGTTGAAGGAAGAAGAGGTAGAAAAAGATCAAAAAAGAGATGGAGAGATGTTATTGAATGCGATATGAGATAGGCTGATGTGAGAGATCGTGTCAAGTTGTAGTTTAGGATAAGGGTGGCTGATTCCAAGTAGTGAGGATAAAAGTGAGGAAGAAGAAGAAGAAGAAGACATTCTTTCTAAGGGCCTTTCGTTCAATCAGTACAAAAAAATGTTTTTGTCACTGAAAAAATGAAACTAAATAATAATTTAAATAACACGACTTCTTCTTCTTTCTGTTTTAACCCTCACACGCAGCTACTACTTGTCCAATATTTCTCAATGATACATCAAAAGAACCAATTCAAATTATGACCCTCAAAAATGTTCTTAAATTTTTATCAAGGTAAACATTTCAAAATTTACCAATTTAAAATAGAGTATTATTGTAATTTTGTAAAAATTACAAATGTTTAACTTTTTTTAAATAAAATAAAATAAATTTAAATATTTTTTCCACAACATAATATTTTTAATATACAGTATATTATGTGCAAAAAAATCTAAAAAAAANAAAAAAAAAAAAATAAAAAAATAAAAAAATAAACACATCATGGTAAAATTAATACCTTCTCAGCTTCGCATCGAAGCTAAAATCATCCAAAATACATATTATAAACAACAAAATTTTGTGATGAAAAAAATATTTTTTTTTTAGTTTTAGCTGTAATAAAAATTAATACATTAACCACATTTTTTAGGTTATTTTATACAATTTGACAAATTTGAAATCAAAAAATTTTAATATGTGCTAAATATTATCATTTTTAAATCTAAGCATAATGAATAATGTGCTCGTCGTAATATTTGATCAAAAATTGAATAAAATATGCAATTTCATGTTTTTGTTGAGCTTCTTTGGCCAATTAAACTAAAATGCGTTGTGGACCTCTAAAACTTTTTTAAAAACTAAATTTTCACTAAATTTTTATTTTATGTATAAAGCAAATTTAAGATGCACCCGTCAATATTTCGAAACTCCACTGTTTCTACACCACCCTAAAAATCAATCATGTATAAAGCTTGAAACTATAATTAAAACTTTAATAAAAAAAAAATTGAGAAAAAAATAAAGAAAAATAAAATAAAAATTTAAAATATGTTTTTAAAATTTTCAAACTTATGCTTTTGTTGTGTTTACCAGCAGAGATAAGATTTTGTGAATACAAAAAATTAATTGCTATTTGTTTAAGAATTTTGTTATGTAAATAAAGTTCTTATCTTATCTTTTAGTTTACCTAAAAAAGTAGTACTATTGTTTTGTATGCTCATTTTGTAGTGTTAATTAAATACATTGATTTATGGGTACATACAAAGTTGATAATACAAAATTTTCAGTAAAATTTAAAGTATTTTTAAAAAGTCTGTCCTCTTAGACCTATATTAATTAGGATTTATAGATAGAGTTAAAATAATTTTGTGGCGGTTAAAATTAATTTTCCTTTCTCTCAAAAATATTTTTCCATTAATGTAATAAAATAGAATGTATGAGATGATATTATGACAGTGTAAGGAAACGAAGATTTGAACTTCTTTTTAGATATATGATGACATGAACAAGCCAGGTATATTATAGAGACTTAGCTTTTCAGCATCAAAATTTTGGATGATTTTATCGTTTTTCTCTAGTTGTTGCAGTCAAGGATTTTTAAGATTTCGGAATTAATATGCACATAGCAATTGTTTTTCTTTGTATATTAAAACTAAAGTTATTTTTTTTTTAATTATTGAATATAAAGTACTATTAACTTTTAAAAAGAAAAAAATTTGTTGTATATTTAAAAGATATTGTGCGAGCATAGTTAATCAATCACCTTGTACACCTATAAAAAATAATAGTGCTAGATTTATCAATGGCTTGTTGAAAATACTTCGTGATTGATAAACAATTTACTTTTATGATAACTGCTTTACTATGTTTCGGTGGATTAATATTAACATTTCATCTTGTGTAAATGTTAGTAATTATGCTCTGAATTATTTAATTTTTAATCAATTTATACCAAATTTTTACAATAGTTAATTGACATAGTTTTATATATTTATTTTTTATAAAATGTTAATAAAAATTCAAGAAGTTATAGTGTTTTGAACTTTGGATTTTGTAAAATTTTTGACATAAATTCATTGTTTTTTACACTTAAGTCAATGTAAAATTTATTTATGCTAAAAAAATGGTTTTTTTAGTATTTTTGTTGAAGCTTTTATATAACATATATAGTAAATAGCTGAGAAGTTATTAAATAACTTTGATATTAGTATAGTAGAAGTTTTTAACATAGTAGTAAGCAATTTTCAAATTCTTATGTAATATAATAATGTCGTATAAAGGGAATATGCAGGATATGCAAATTAACAATGACGGGAAAAAGAATATATAAAAAGAAACAAGAAAAGTAATGGGGATTGACGTTTTGACTAAGAAATGTCTAGTTACGGGTCAGGACGTTTAGTGCGTAAAACTTTGCATTTTGAGCGGCTTAATTTATATTGTGTTACATTGTTATATTGTATCTTGATTTTAAGTTTATTACGTTCCGTAAATAAAAGATAATTATTCGAAAACCAGCACTTAGTGTACATACTTTATATCCACCGTGTTATTAAAATTGTATGTGTGCGGCAAGAGTTAAGGTTGGACAGCTGGTCCTTTAGTCGATCTTAACACTTAATGTGCGTGCTGGCTAGTTTTTGGGCTTAACCGTCCTTTAGTAGATATAGTTAAAAGGTTATTGTGATGATGGCTGACTAGGAGCCACCCTTCAGTCTGCTATTTTTGAGCTAGACCGTGCTGACGGATCTAAAACCTACTCCTTTAGAGGTTCACTAATTGGAGGGATTAGGCTAATCAGTATACCCAACGGGCGGACTTGAAAAGAGCCAACTTAAAAGTATTAATTAATTTGTGTACTTTTTATGTATCTACGTGGCAGTACTACCGACGTACATGTCGTACACGTCGGTAGTACTGCGTACTAAAAGGGTAATAGGCAACTTTAAAATCTTGCATACTTTTAAAAATTAAAAGTACGCGTTGTCTTCGAATAAAAGCTGATAAGAATATTCTGAGTTTATTTTCAGAATAAGCAATGCGGAACTATTCAAAAATTACCCCTTATCGCCCTAAATTCGTTTGACGACTGTAATTTAATCATACGTAATCGACGCATACGATAGAACAGGGTCTAAAGTCAGAAGAGAGTGCGCTATTTGAATTGTCCATGAATTGCAAATATTTTTTTTTGCTTGTCACTAAAATAATGTATACATTATTTTGTTAAGTGACAAAATAATTATTGCGCGGACGTTGTATGACTTAAAGTCTACACTAAATATAAACTCCAGTGAAAATAAAAATACTGCAGTATAACAATAACAATAATTACAGTAAAAATTCAATTAATCAGTATAAAGAAAACATATATGTACTTATAACTATTATTCATAGTGGTGTAGACTAGGCCTTTGAAAATCGGTAAAATTCCTGATGGACCTCTATTCTTTATAAATATATTATCAAGTAAGCAAAAATGAAAAACTTAGACTAATATAGAATTTAATACACTTTGGTTTTTGAACTAATTTTTTCTTTTGTTCAATTGCTTATCATAATTTTTTCATTAAAAAATAATAAAGAATTATAAAATTTTAGCACTTTAAATGAAGCTATTAAAATTTAGTAAGTAATACTTTCAATAAAAAATTTGTTTACAGTTAATAAAAAAATACTTTATAGAATTACAAAAATGTACATTTTTATTACCTGATTTATGTATTAACGTAATTATGATGAATACAAAAAGTGCAATAATAATGAGACATAAGTTGCGAGATTTGATCCGACCCAATATAATTTCCATTCAATATTATTAATGTAGATCACTGATCTACATGAGTTACACACTAAATTTACATAAAAATATTGAATATTTCAGTAGTATGTTTAATATAAGTCAATTACTTGATGTGTATAAATGCATAAAATCAACTATACATGGAGATCGCAGCGTTAATTGTTATCGTAACGTTTCTTATTTCGTTCCCCTCTCTTCAATTTGTCTAGCAACATAGTTGAACCCTGTCATAAAATTATTTAGAACTGTTCAAAAAAAATATACTTTGATAGGATAAATGAAAAAAATATTTAAAATAAGTGTATTAATACAACAATGATTGTACAGGTTAGTTCTTAACTTATAAGTTAAATTAGTTTCAAAATTAAGTTAATTTATAAGATTAATTGGTAAATTCAGTTAAGTTACTTCAACAAGTAATAAATAATTTGAAACATAAGTAAGTTATCAAAACATTATTTCACCGTTCATATAAAAGTAATTCATATTTAAAATGAATTTTCATGTTATAATATTAAATTTTTCCACTATTTACCATAAAAACTAAAAAGGAAATCTATTTTTCAATTCCTATTTTTAATCTATTTTTTTATAGTATTACTAAGTCAATTAAATACTATATAAATATTTTTTTATTGTTTTCCATGACGTAGATAATTATTTTAAGACCAATACATTCAAAGGATCAATTCATATTTCCTTTTAATTACTTTTAAAAAGTTATAAATTTCTCAGAAAAAAATTATTTTATTTTAGTATAATACTAAATAGTCTATCAACCACAATTACTGAGTTCTTACTTAACTTATTAAAAAAGAGTTATTTATTAAGTTGAAGTTACTCAACGAAGGGTTCACATAAAGTTACCAATTGAGTTAGTGAAAAAAAAAAAAACTAAATAGTTAAGTTTAAATTAAATCATATCTTTAACTTAAATTATAACTTTTTATCGCGTTAGTGCCAGCCTTGTTTAACATTTTTCTATAAAACAATTATTATATGAAAATATTTTTTAAGGAGGGAAACATTATTTTTTGTTTTTGCTAAAAATTTTACCGCATTATTTACAATATTATGTTTTTTAATATTTAATATTTTGATTTTGGTCGCGTTTACAGACATTTTATTATATTATCGTAGTTTCTTCGAATATTTATAAAAATATAAAGAAAGACTTCTGCAATAGGTGAGGATCCAATATATATTTTGAAAGATATTTAAAATTTACTGCAAAATTTTTTCTTTTTAAAACTCCAAATTTGAGGAAGCCATGACTGGTGTGACCCCTCTTGGTCAGCCATTGTTCTATTGAGATCACTTAACTAAAATGTTTTGATATGTTTTTTAAATAGATGTATAGTTTATTAAATAAATTGAGTTTATTATATTAGTTCACAAAGTAATATACAAGGTAAGCTAAAGTAATGATCATAAACATAACAATAATATAGTTAAATACAATTTTAACTTTTTTAGTATATACATAGTCATTAAGTATACATTTATTCTAAAAATTAAGATAAATGATTTCAAAGAAAATCATATTTGTTGAATTAAATACATGATATTTAATGATTTAAAATATTTCATTAAAAACTAAGTTGATAGATACTTGTAAAGGAACGATTACATATTTTATAATATATTAAATATTGCTAAAACTTTTACTAAGAATAGTTAATAGATAATTTATTATTTTATATAGACTAAATTTTTAAATATATATATTATATACGAACACAGCTAATAAAATAAAATTCTAATCAGCATACAACTACTTACACAAAAAGGCACTCTTTTTGAAAAAAGATAACGTATCCGGATCATCCGGATACGATAAAAAGATCATCCGGAAAAGAATGTTATTTTAATAAAAAAACAAATAAATATAAAATCAAGCAAACGAATCAATTAACAACCATTTTAGACTATAATTTTGTTATAACAACAATTAAAATTTTAGTTAGCTTTTACATTTATAAAAGTTAAAATTTCAACGTATTGACATTAGATTCTTACTTTGCAACTAAGTGTTTAAAATTTTTTTTTAAAATATCATAACTTTACAAATAGTTATATGTATATGATTTAAAAATTAATTAAAAATATATGTACAAATCACTACACTAAATATACATAAGTAGATATTTATTTATTTTGTAATTTATTGCTTCATTAAAAATAGAATATTTAAGTGCTTTAAATAATTGAATAGTACTATTAAAATAGCATTAAAAATTTAGTAGAAATAATATTAAAATAATATTTTAAGTAAAAAAGTAAGTTTGAAAATATGAAGTAATCGGTTTGATATTTTTCTCAAATTTATATTGACATGGATAGATCCTAATGTCTATAAATCGGTATTAATGTAAAGTTTAACACTAATTATAATGGTACTGGCCAGTTCAATATTTAATATGTGAATATTAATAAAAATATCAATACGGTAACACTATAAATATTCCGTATGTTTAAAATCTCATTGACAAGTAAATAAAAATAAAAAAAAAAAACAAATTTTATTTTCAGCTAATAACGTTATAAGGAGTTGAAAAGACTTTAAAAGAAAATTTTTGGTCAAAGAGGAAATATCAGAACGCGTATAGGCACATAAAACGTCAGAAACCGGAGAGATTAGTCGACCGCCTTTCAGTAGATAGATTTTGCACCCTTATTAGATAGAGCGGGTGTACTCTAATCAGACTGGGCTCGCTTTGAAATAAGGCAGCTTAAGAAAGAGACGAGGTGACCGTGTATTAAGCGTATCTCAAAATTATTACTTATAAGCAATAATATTATATTTTATATATATATATATAATATTATTACTTAATATTATATGATATATTATTACTTTGTTTACAAAATAAAATTAATTTTCGAAAAAATTGTTTAATACCTTTATACAATTAAACTTTTCATATATATTTTTCATTCTTTTAGATTAAAACATTATTTTTGTATATGTCATTTGTGTTTATGTGTGCTCAATATTTTTTTCATAATTTTGTATTCCATAGTTAATTAATCTTATGAAAATTTAAAAGAAGATTATAAAAATTAGTTGATAACAAAAACTTTTACCATAAAAAAAATACATTTATACAAATATTCCATATCGAAGCGTTTTGCAATAACAGCATTATCACTTACAAATTTAACATTTACTTATAGTCAGTTTTTTCAATTGATCAATTTTTGTTATTTAAAATAACAATTTTATGAAGTATAGTAATAGAATTTTAATAATTGAGGTATTGACATTTAAAAAGATCTACCAACAATTAAATTTTACATTTTTTAAATGTTTTAAAGCTCAAAAATTGTATTTAAAAAATTACTTTATTATTAAATATAAAAAAATAGTAACAACCGGAATAGAAACTTATCTCTTCTATACTACTGTAATAGGGACAATCATAATATTTATAAAAATAAAAAACGCAATTTCGGAATTTTTAACACTTACCTTATAATCATTGTCAATACCTCAATTATTATGTATAAATTTTGTTTGAACATTTTCATAAGCACACATTTCTATGAATTTTTTATATATTTTAACAGTATCATAAAGATATCTTTTATTTTAGAACTTAGTAAACCTGAAATAATATATAAACATCTCTAAATAAAATCGTTTACATATGCTATAAATAAAATGAAAACTTAGTTTTGTTGGACATCATGTGTTTAGAAATAATTTAATCGGAAATAATACTTACAGGTAAATTACCTCTCTAATTGTAACTTAATAATAAAATTTATCTAAATACGAATCAAATATATGTTCACTTCTACAAATCATAGTACAGGCTATCACTGAATTAATTTTGTTTAAGTATTTAATTAGTTCAATTCTATACAAGTAATAACATTGAAAATAATACAACAAATTGACTCTTAAATCGAATTATTTATTTACAATAATGTCGATTTGGGTTACTAATGAATGTTAATATTAACTAAATAAAATATTTTTTATATGACATTTTTGATAGATATCAGTTTTTTGTATTTTTTGCAAAATAATATTCAATTTGTTTTCAAATATTTTAAAATTTAATAGTTAATAATTTTAATTTTTAAAATACTAATATTTAAACCCTGAATATATCGTTTTAAATACAACCTAAATAAAATACTATTATAACAAATTTGTGTGAAATGACAATATCAAATATTAATCATTAAATTATTTATTGATGTTATTATTTATTATAATATTACATCATTACCTATGCTGCAAAGTCTTTTTTGTTTACCAATTCAAATAATTTTTAAAGAAATAATGCTCAATAAATTCATGCATTAGATTCTTTTAATTTGTGTAGTTTAGCTAACTGGTCTGGCTCAAGTTCGGGCAGTGGTGGTAAGACAATATCATTAGCTTCGTCAGATTCAAGTAGTTTGAGTTCATCCTCTGATTCTTCAGGTATTGTTGCAGGAAAATAATCACTATCAACACTCATATGATGTTCTTCTTCAGGCTCCTGCTGTGATTCTATCTCAGATTTCGTTTCTGCGTCAGAAGATTCTTGACCAAAAGGTTTTTCAGGCTCCTCAACTACTGGAGTAGCAGCAGTAATGACAATTTGTGCAACTCCTAGACCATCTGTCGCAGGTGCTGGCGGGGGAGGTACATTTGGAGGGCCTGTATGGTCATCCTAAAGAGTATATTCAACTTAAAAAAACTTATAAGGTACTAACTCAAGAGAAAATACAGAATAAAATTTTTTTTAATGTTAACCACTAAATATCACTATAAGTAATATCTACATTTTATTACATTTATTTTTCAATTTAATCACTGATGAAGTTTTTTTTTTAATTCATTCCTATTGTCTTTTAAGATTATCAAATTTAATAATTATAATTTTTTTTAAAGGACAACATACATGTCAAACCAGTTTTCGTATTTAAAAAGATTAATATAAAAACATTATTTAAAAAAATATAAATATTTTAATATTTAGGCGAGAAGAAGAATGCAGCTGAGAAATTAATGTTTTAATGAAAAAGTGCACTAGCCACTTTTGGACAGTTTAACTTACCGTAAGTCAGTATAATCTCCCATTTCAAAATGTTAACATAAGTAAAGTATTTTTACATATGCATCATTTATCAGTACACCTCACCTAACTTGTATAATTTATTTAGTACACTATATAGAAGATTATTCTATAAGACTATATAGACTTTTATTATTTTAATTTATACCGTACAAGGATTTCGTACTTGATTTAATTTAATTAATAATATGTTATTGTAAAATAAATATTCAAACTAGATTTTTAATATATGAAAATCGTTTTATTTTAAGAAAATTGTTTTTAATGCGTGAGCGTGGAGTTTAAAGAAGGAGTCTAAAACATGATTCCAACAGATTCCACTTATACCGGCCTTAGAACGACTATGTATAGAGACAATACCTCTATTATATATTATATAAGTGTTAAAAATATATTCATTACTTACATTTTTTTAATGTACTCAAATTGGGCTTAAGTCTAAAAATTTAATAACGGGTCTATGTGTCACATTTTGTTTTAAATTTCTCTTAGACATTTTTTATATTTTAGTGTTTTATATAAATTAATAACTGTACATTCATTTTAAACTACTTTTCAATTAAATTTAAACTTACATTATCATCATTGTGAATACATAATTGTGGAACCATGGTTATCGCTATAATTTAAAAACAAAATTTATTTCAGGTAATTTATAAAAAAATTAAAATATTGGTTTTATTGAATTAATTAATTACTTAAAAAAAAATTATTACCGTTTTTGTCAGAATTTTCTATTGAATTTCCTGCAAATTGTGTATCATACTGTTCTTGCTGATGTTGAGTTAATTCCATAGAAAAATCATTGTTAGTGTTGGATACTTCAACTAAATTAAAATTATCAAGGTTAGACGTCAGTGGAAGAAGAACTATGAAGTAAACGTACACGATTACTTCTAGAGAATTCACTTAAAAATGAATTCTCTTTTGAGTAGATAAGAATTTGATGAAAATTGAATACAAAATGGAAGGGTGTTTATTGACATAAAATGGGACCTTAAAAATTACATTTAATTAAAAAAGTGGTTACTTTGTATTAGTCATTGGATATTAATTTAGGAATTAAATTTTGCATCATTTGATAATTATCGTGAAGTAAATTATATTATGCACAATAATACACATTATTATATACAATAATAAAATACTATTGGTGTCAAAAAAAAAAAACACAGAAAAATAGTTAAACAATTTGTTTTATATTTCATTCTTAATTTAAAAATTAACTAATTAATAATACATTTAAATATGTACTGTGATAATAATTTAAATTTTACTACTTGAAATTTTACAAATGTGTGAAATAAGTTATCGTGTAAATTGTAGTATGTTTGGGAAATTACCTTTTGTTACTTAACTGAATTTATTAAATATAATTACATTCAATATTAGTAAATTGTAATTTAATTTTTTTAAGTTGGACTTAATCTGTTATTCTATTAGCTCATATATAATTAAATTTTAATACTTTTATATAATTTTATTAAAGTCATGGTTATTATGTAAACATGAAAGTCCCTTTTTTTTTTGTAAATTACTTATATTACACCACTGAAATATATGATATATTATCTTTAAATTACTGATAATTATTAATTAAGTTCGAATGTATTTAACTTTTACCTCCAGCACTTATATCTTCTGGACCATGTTCGCCAATTGGTGTCGGTTGTGTTACAATAACATGTGTGGGTAACAAACGCGAGGAAGTTAACTCAGGTGGAGTGACTGCCGGAGGGGGTGGTGGAGGTGGAGCATTCGTAACAAATTCTGGATGATCATCATTGGAAAAATCACTGTCACCATTTTCAGAAGTTGGTGTAGGTACAAGTTCACCATTATGATAACATTCTTTCACTAAACATGATGGAAAGTGTCCCATGTTACTACCTAATTCACCAACCCACCAGCCATCATCAATATGAGTGGTTTTATCAATAACTTTTATAATTTGTCCTTCTTTCATTCCCAATTCTTCGGGGTCATTACCATCATAATCAAATAATGCAATGCAATATGAAGGAGTATCTGTAATACCTAAAATTTGTACAAATATTTAATGACATTTTTTTTTTTAAACTTTTAAACTTTAAGTTTTTGTTAAAAGTTCTTTGACGAAAGTAAAAAAAAAGTACTTTTAAATATTGAAAAATACTTTTTTTAAACATCACAGAATTATACTGCGTTTTTGTTTGTGTATAAGTTCAAAATGCTGAAGTTTAAGGTGTTAAAATATCAATATAGATAATATTTAAAAACAATTTCATTTACCTCCTTTTTTTTCCCAAACGGTCGTAATACTTTTTTCTGAAGATTGTTCTTCTGCTTCGTTTTCTTCATCAGATTGATTTTGTAGTTGCTGAATTAAAGGTGCATCATTTACCATGTAGTCCACCGATGAAAAGCTTATTTGTGATCTTAGTTGATAATTTGTTGGAGCATCATGGTTGTCTGGATCACATGTTTCTTGTTCAATATCCAAGTAATTAGAAGGAACATATCCTACTTCTCCTTTATAGTTTCTGGCTTTAGACCAACCGTAACTATCACTATCTACACTAAATACTTCAAGTTGCTCATTTTCTACAATAGTCAATTCATCTGGATGTTGAGCCTATAATTTATATTTAATATGTAATAATTTTTACTATTGTGAATAAAAATAAAAAAAAACTTACTGAATAACTATACAAAGCTGTACATTTATAAACGGGTCCTTCTGGCTCTTGAGTATGTTGAGGATAAGTGGATTTATCATCAGAATCGCCAGTTTCTTCCCAGTTTACTTGAGTCGGATCATCCCAACCAGCAGTTAATTGTTCTATACGTTGACGTTCTCGTTCAACAAGTGCTAGATATACACAAACAATTCTTTATTATTCTTACTGATTGTTAATTATTCATAAATAATATACTTTTCAAAAGTATTTTATTCTTCGAAAATTACTTAATTAAATATTATACTTGTAACAATGTACAAATTAAGAATTTATTTATTTAATAAATCAAATAATATGGCATGCAATGGTGGGCATTAAATAGTTAAAAAGTTAAAGTTAAGTTAAAAACTTAATATTTTTTTAACTATTAAACTTAACTAGTTAATTATTTTTCTAATAAACTTTTTAACTTAACTAATTTAATTTTCTCCTGAAATAACTTAGCTTTTTTTTATTTAATTAGTTAAAATAACAGTTAAGCTAAATTCAATATTTTATGAAAACATTTATGTTTTTATACACTGCGTACGTGGTTTAATTTAAAAACAAAAATGGAAATTTACCCTTGAACTACTATATTTATATAACAATAATTACAATTTTCTGAAATTTTTCAAAAATGTATATGTTTTTAACTGATTATTTTAATAACTAGTTTTAAAGATAAAACAGTGCAACTAACACAAAAATGTATAAAACAAATAAAAAAATGTTGTGTTATTATTAATATTTTTTTCCTAAGTTTAAAAGGTATAATGAGTTGTATGATAGGCTAGGAAAAGAATAGGACAAAAGTATGGCGAGAAAGAAATCTATATACTTGCAAAGATAAGAGAGAAATGGTATAAAGATTATCATTATATAGAGTGTATAAAATGTGTTGATAATAAGGTACTCCCGAGTGATGATAATGTGAAAAAAAGATGGAAAGAGTATTTTGAATAATTATTGAATGAGGAGTACCCACCCAAAAGAGACTCCAAATAATGAGTGAGGGATTCCAATCCCTAATCAATAATTGAGCAATATTCCAACGTAGGTCTAACTAAAGAAGTATATAACGTTTTTAGACACTGTTCATTTCTGAATTCTTTAATATTCCTAATTAATAAACCCTAGAGTTCCAAATGAATGGAGGATTAGTATTGTGGTGCCGATATTTAAATATAACGGAGACAAACAGGAGTGTAGAAATTATAGAGGCTTAAAGCTTATGAGTCATAATAGGAAAATTTGGGAAAAGGTAATAGATAAGAGAATAAGAAATGAGACATCGGTATCTATAAACTAGTTTGGATCTATTCCTGGTAAGTGTACAATGGAGTCATTATTTTCTGTGATGCAACTAAAAGAAAAGTTTAGGGAAAATAAGAAAAAGCCGTACAGGTATTTATAGATTTGGAGAAAGCGTATAATACAGTACCGAGAGAGGTTCTAAAGGGGGCATTAATAAGAAAAAGGGTCCCGAAAAGGTACATTAATATAATAAAAAATATGTATGATGACACTTGTACCAAGGTAAAAAGGGCAGGAGGAGTAACAGAAGGTCTTCAATAGGAGTGCATCAGGGTTCTGCTTTAAGACCTTACTTATTCTCTATAGTAATGGATAATATTACTAGAGAAATACAAGCAGAGGTACCTTGTTGCATGTTGGCATGACAATAAGCGAGGTCGTGATTGGAGAGGTGGAGACTTTTAAGTATTTAGGGTCAGTTGTGCAATAGAGTGGTGGTATTAACGAGGATGTAAGACACAGGGATAAGTGTGGGTAGTTGAAGTAGAGAGAAGAGTCTGGTGTCTTATGCGCTAAAAGAACTCCAATGAGGCTGAAAGGTAAATTTTACAAGACTGTAGTGAGACCATCTATGATGTATGGTTCAGAGTGTTAGGCGATTGAAAAGAAAGTAGAGCAGAGAATGAGTGTAACAGAGATAAAAATGCTTAGATGGATGAGTGGAGCGACTAGAGAAGATAAGATAAGAAATAAGCATATGATAGGGACTTTAGGTGTAGCGTCAATTGTGAATAAGATAAGAGAAAATAGACTTAGATGGTTTGGTTATGTTATGTGGAGAGAGGAAGAAATGATCAACTTTAAAAGTTGATAAACGATTCTTAGATTTCCCTTACATCACCGATCAATGAAAGATGATTTTAAGAGATTTTAGAAAAAAAATAAATTTTAAACGAAATAAATTTTTTAGCTTCGATGCGAAGCTGAGAATGTATTAATTTTACTATGATGTGTTTTTTTTTTTATGACTGTTGCCACTTTTTCTCAGCTCTCACTGGACCGATTTCTTTTAAAAGTACGTCAAAAGATCACAAATCGTATCTAGTTGAAGACATTATTCTTAAAAATTGAAAAATTTTCCCTCGTTCCCCGCAAATGGAGGAAATATCCAAAAAAATTACAAATTTAAAAATCGGTAAATTTTGTCATTTTTTTCACTTTTTTTTCTTAAAACTTCCATAACTTTTTCAAAAATCGACAAATCAACATAATTTTTTTTATACTAAATTCTTAGATATTTCCCTTTCATTTAATATAATTTTTTTGAAAATCTAACACTTAATCTGCTCATTCGGGANTTGACTTTCATGAATATTATATAATTTAATTGACATAGAATAAAGGTCATAAGACATAAGAAATTAAACTTATTAAATTTTTTTACTTTTTTATTTTCATACTAAATTTAATAATTATAATTAGTATTTATTCATATATTATATTTTAAAATCAAAGAACTACTAATTAGGATATAATCAAAGAAATAAGAGTTGATGTTGCTTTTGGAATAATCCATCAATTTCTCTAAATGAAACACTATCTACAGATTTGCATCGAAGCGTTTCTTATGATAGTGATTTTAATTACTGTCAAATATCATCTATACTTGTCCCATTTATGCCTTGTCTACACTGTGCCTCGACCCCACTGTGCTACAGTTTTTTTTTTATAAATACTTTAGATATATCCAATTCATTTGGTGCATTGTTTTTAAAAAATTGTCTCTTAACGTGCCCATAAGAATTTAAAAGTTCGATTTTTTTTTTGAAAAAATAAAATTTTCAACTTAACTTTTGAAAATGTTTTAGAAAACCTTACACTTTTGTACATAGCTCAAATTAATTTTCTGAATATGAAGAAATAGCCAAAGCACTATTTGGAGTTCACGATTATTGTCATTATGATATTCGTCGCAAAAAAAAAAAAGAAAAATTCAACCAGATGAGTCATGGGTAAATGATAGAACACCTTTTTTTGGACACAAACATTTTTGCACAAATGCTTATTACCCTATTCTTGACACACTGCATGTACAATTGACCAGACGTAAAAGTGCATATGAAAAAGCTTTAAAAAAATTTAAAGTCTATTAAAGCTCAACTAGTCCATGAAATTAATTATGACAATATAATCGACGTTTTTGCACAGACCAAAGCTAGGAAAAATAAATTTTCAAATTGATTAATATTAAAAAAATTAATTAATTTTTTATCTGCCATGTTTATTAGTTATTTTTAAAAATTATTTTTAAATAAAGTTATTTTAAAATAAAAATATTTTATTAAAATGAATAAAATTAATTTTTTTAATTAAAAGGACGGTGCATGGGACAGGGCCTAGGACCGTAGCAAATCTAAATCCCTCACTGGATGTCACTCTGATGGTGGTCAGAATACTCTCAGTAGGTCAGTAGGGCTTAGACTAGGTCAGTAGGCCTCAGACATGGTCAGTTATTCTCAGAGTTGATCAGCACGTTCAATTACGATTAACCCATTATAAACTTTGTTTTCTTATCGAATTATATGCAAGAAGTGATTCGCCGTGTCTACGTTATAATTGCATAAGAAAACAACATCTATTTATTTCAGAGTATTTATTGGACGTAGGAGACTAATAATTTTACCAAAAATATATAAGGTTTAGAATTTAATTTTATGAGTACATAGATTAAGTAGGCACTAAGAAAAATCAAGTGATTATCCACAATACAAAATATACCGAGTAAATTTAATAAATCGATAATGTTTGTACAGAGTTATTTGGCAGTTATATCTTTGATACGTGTCTACTTCAAGAGTTAAGTAGGAGGTTCATATATAGCCATCATACTACTATGAGTAGACACACGAAGTGATTCAATTCCACTTATCATTGATAACTGTCAAAAATCGTGGCATTATTGATATCATAAAGTGTGACAATTAATTATAATAAATCTTTTATTAATAAAATAAAGAATTATTTACTTTTTTATCATCTTCTAACTCACTTACAAACCCTCGTACACATACCCTGAGTAATAATATTAATAATACAATAAAAACTGTAGCTCAACCCAACCTTTCATTTTATTTATTTTCTTTTAGCTTTGATGCGAAGCTGAGAAGGTATTGGTTTTATTATAATGAGTTGTTTTTTTTTTTTGCATCTGTTACCACTTTTTCTCAGCTCTCACCAAATCGATTTCTTTCAACGATACGTCAAAAGATCACAAATCGTATTTAGTCGAAGACATTACCCTCAAAAATTGAAAAAATTTCTCTCGTTCCCTGTAAATGGGGGAAATCTCCAAAAAAATTACAAATTTAAAAATCGCGAATTTTCGACATTTTTTCAAATTATTTTACTTAAAATTACCAATACTTTTTTAAAGATAATAAAATCAATATAATTATTTTTTTTATAGATGCACGATGTCTATACTTTTCATTTAGTATATTTTTTTTATAAATCTGACTCTTTACCTGCTCACAGGGGGGGATTCAAAATAACAAACTTTTCATAAAAAATTAACTTTTTCAACTTAACTTTTGAAAGTGTTCCGGAAATAATGACACTTTTATATATATCTTAAATTCAAGCTTATGTAATATACTTTATAGTTTATTATGGATAAAAAATATTTTTGTCTTCATTGTGAAAACAGACATTAATTTTAATGTCTGTAATATTAAAGTTAATAAAAAAAATACGATTTTTGTAAAAAAATTCTTTTTTATATTTTTAACTTTATTATGCTATAATTTATTGAAAAGTATATATATCAATAAAATTTTTTTATGAGAAATTATATTTATATCTCTCTCTAATTCGACATACTTTATCTTAATCAAGATGAAAATATGGAACTAGTAGATCATGTAATTTTTGGAATAATCCGCCAATTTTTTAAAATTAAACACTATCTAAAGATTTGGATCCAAGCGTTTAATATGATAGTTATTTTAATCACTATCAGATATCATTATACTTGACCCAACTATGCCACGTCACCAATGTGCCGTGAACCCCCTGTGCTGGGTTTTTTCTTTTTGAGTTACTACATTATTCTGCATGTAATTTTATTGAACAATGAAATAAATTGTGTTGGAATATTTGGCTACGAAATAAAAGAAGCGTTAATTAAAAATATTAAACAGAATAGTGGTGTATTTATGATTTTGCTGATGATGCAATAATATATTTTAAATATTTTTATGCCACAAAAAATTTCTGTTGATATCATTATTACTATTATTAATTTATTTATGTTTAGCATCCTTTCTTAAAAGTTATAATTGTTTAAAAAAATGCAGAAAAATCTACATGACATAGGGCAATGCTACCTACACACCGATGTACGACCGTTATGTAGGCTACTTTTGCATTGTACTTAAAATAAATTAATACAAACCCCAATCTTTATCAATTCCTGCTGAATCTGGCCTTTCTTCTTCATCTTGAGATGACGACTGATGTCGTTCCATTGGTACGGGGCTTTCAGATGGGCCATCACCGTAATCTTCACTATCATAGTCAGATGTCATTGCATTTGTAGCACTACCTTCAACAGTTATAGAAGACGTGCTACTTGACCTCTGAAGTTCAATACTTAAATCTCCAATATCTGCTAGCCATTCTTCAACGTTCACTAAAATAATTTTCTTTCAATAAATAATCATCATATTTTAATTACATTAGCTGCATACCATTTCCATCCCCATTTTTTAAACATTCTATACGTGCTTCTGCTTTCACTTTAGCTATCTAAAAAAGTATTTTATAAAATGTAATAAAATTTTAATTTAAAATTAAAGCTAACACACATTTTTATAAAAGTTAGAATAATATACTTATTTATGATAAGTTTTAAGCGTTAAAAATATATTGATTAGAGGTAATATTTTAATAATCGATATTTAGATCAATAAATCATAACAATGTCATCGTTAGAGGTAATAGAACTAAGATTTTTTTCATTAATTGTAAATTTTAGCTTCGATGCGAAGCTGAGAAGGTATTGGTTTTACTAAGATGTGTTTTTTTTTTTTTGTGTGTCTGTTACCACTTTTTCTCAGCTCTCACCGAACCGATTTCTTTCAATGATACGTCAAAAGATCACAAATCGTATCTAGTCGAAGACATTACCCTTAAAAATTGAAAAAAATTCCCTCGTTCCCCGTAAAAGGGGGAAACCTCCAAAAAAATTACAAATTTAAAAATCGCTAATTTTCGAAATTTTTTCAATTTTTTTTACTTAAAAGTGCCATAACTTTTTCAAAAATAAACATATCAATATAATTCTTTTTTATATAGATGCATAATATCATTACCTTTCATTTGGTATATTTTTTTCATAAATTTAACCCTTAACCTGCCCACAAGGGGGGATTTAAAATGACAACTTTTTCACAAAAAATTAATTTTTTTAACTTAAATTTTGAAAATGTTCCGGAAGGTCTGACACTTTTATATATATCTTAAATTAAAGCTAATGTAATATGCTTTATCATGAAAAAAAAAAATTTCGGACTTTATCTTATCTTCATGGTGAAAATGGCTACCGAATGCTATTTTTGTGTGAAAATTTTCGATTTTGTATTTTCCATTTTTAACTTTATTATGCTATAACTTTTTGAAAAATGTATGAATCATTACAATTTTTTTATGAGAAGTAGTATTTATATAGATCTTTCATTCGACATACTGTTTTTTTAAATCGGACCATTTCCCTAAATACAGGGGGGATTCAAAACATAAAAATGCATATAGAAAGTAGAACTTTTTCAACGTAACTTTTGAAAGTGTTCCGGAAGGTCTGACACTTTTATATATATCTTAAATTAAAGCTAATGTAATATACTTTATAATGGTAAAAAAAAATTTCGGACTTTATTTTATCTTCATGGTGAAAACAGACATTAAACTTAATAAAAAAAATACGATTTTTGTAAAAAAATTCTTTTTTATATTTTTAACTTTATAATGCTATAACTTCTCGAAAGATGTATGGATCAATATAATTCTTTTTTTTGTAGATGCATGATGTCTTTACCTATCATTTGGTATATTTTTTTTATAAATCTGACTTTTTACCTGCCTACAGGGGGGGATTCAAAATGACAACTTTTTCACAAAAAATTGACTTTTTCAACTTAAATTTTGAAAGTGTTCCGGAAAGTCTGACACTTTTATATATATCTTAAATTAAAGCTAATGTAATATACTTTATCATGGAAAAAAAAAATTTCGGACTTTATTTTATCTTCAAGGTGAAAATGGCTACCAAATGCTATTATTGTGTGAAAATTCTCAATTTTATTTTTTACATTTTTAACATTATAATGCTATAACTTATTGAAAAGTGTATTGATCAATATAATTTTTTTATGGGAAATACTATTTTCTAATAATCTCTTTTTTATTCGACATACTTTGTCTTAATCAGGATATTAATAAGGAACTAGCAGTTTATGAAGCTTTTGGAATAATCCACCAATTTTTTAAAATTAAACACTATCTAAAGATTTGCATCGAAGCGTTTTTTTTTTATAGTGATTTTAATCACTGTCAGATATCATTATACTTGATCCAACTATGCCACGTCACCTCTGTGCCGCGACCCCCCTGTGCTGGGTTTTTTTTAACTTATTACGTTTTTCTTCTATTTTAACATTTTTTTATATAAAATCTAAATTATTGACAGAAATTCATGAGACTTTTATATAGTGAAAAATTATCTATGAATTTCTTTTTCCAACACAGCCTAAATAAAAATATTTTTCACATAATCAGTTGTCAGAAAATTAGAAAATTACTCACTTCAGATCTGCGAATACTATTTTTTAACGTTTCAATTTTTGTTTCTAAATCGGGCCCATTTGGATCATTTGGATCATTCTAAATGAGCAATATTACGCATGTAAAATAATAAAAATGTTATGATTAATAAATAGTAAATAAATATTAGCTTAAAAACATATTATTTATAAATTTAATTAAATAACAATAACCTTTTGACCAGAATCTCTAAGCGCTTGGAAGACTTGTAACTTTTTTACATTCTCTTTAATGTTATTAGTTTCTCTTAAAATTCTTGTAGCCCATCTCTTTGCTTCTTGGCTAAGGATTGTAACTACTGCTTCATGATCTGCCGTTATATGGTCTATACTATCACCATCACAAGGTTCAAATAGATATTGAACGTGTTGTTTTAAAACTGGATAGAATAGGTATACACATTGCATATTGTATTCTCGACTTAACTGTATAGACCATTGTATTATTGATTCATTAAAAAAAAAAAATTTAAATACTACTTACTTGTTGAGCTTGATCTTTAACTTTTTTAAATGAGTTATGAACAACTGTGCACGTAATAAGCTCGATTTTACTTAGTAATGACAAGTATTCTTGAACTTTTTCATAAACATTATTTTCCATTGTCTAAATTTGTAAAATAATAAATAGTCATAAATTTTGTAACAATATCAATAAAAAATAATAATTTTATGTATAGATGTTTAGAATTACTTTTTATTAATACATACATTCATTACATTTTGAAGATCTACTAAAAAATAACGTGTTTGATGAGCGTTAGCACCGGCCAAACTAAGTAAGTAATCGTTTCTTGCTCCTGAAGATTTTTCTTCTAAAACTTCTCTTCTGGAAGACACCTGAAATATTTTTAATACTTTTGAATACTAATAGTTTTATCACATAAATAAAATATAAAATTCAGAATTTAACTGGGCATCGACAACCTAAATCAGAGTTATTACAATTGCAAGATGAAGATTTTAAAAATTGATGCACAATAACTTAATGTTGTTGTGCATTATTCAATGTTAAAAGTTTATAAACCCGATTTAATATAGCTAAGCTAATTTCTAAAAGATGATGTTTTTAAATTTATTTAATTGTTGTTGTCTTAAACTATATTCAGTTATGAAATTATAATCATTCCAGAAATTTTTTTAAGGAAATATAGTTTTTATAAAAACTATATTCCTCCTATAAAAAAACTATATTTATAAGTTATAATTAATAATAGTATTAATAATTTTTGATAATCTTTCTTTTGCTCTTAAAACTACTAAACATTTAAAACATAAAGGCCATTATTCATTTTAAAAAGAGGGCTAAACCATGAACATTTTTTACTACCTTCCCACGCAAATTTTTTTAAAAATACACAGCTGCTAATAATAGACTAATTTTGTATGTAAAAAATTATTTTTGCAATCTTACCTTTGCACTATTTTTCTGTAAAGATGTAATTGACTGAAAAAATGAACCTTTTTTCTTTTTTAACCTAAGAGAAAAAAATTAGAATTAGTTATATCACGTGATTATCTTTCAAGCTGTTAATATTTTTTTAATTTTCGATTGATTATTTTAATACATAAGCGTAATTAGAATAAAAATTTTGGGGGTGCTAAATTAATTTTTCGCCATTAATATTTTTTATAAAAATAGTTTTAAATAATAAGTAGTATATTTTTTTGGAAGCTAAGTCCTTAAGACCCCTCATTGCGTTTATGTTTAAATAAAAATAACATTATTTTGCGTTACAATTTTACATGGAATTTGTTGTTATGGTTTATTTCTTATTTTAATGAGATTTTCATATTAAAAAACGTGTAAAACCTACAAAATTACTTTATTTTATTGATTTATTTAGTTAAAAATAGTATTTTTAGCAATTGTAGTATTATAGTCATAAATACATCATTCATTGTTATTTATTTATTTATATGACTGGTGTGGTCATACTATTAAAAAAAACAATACAATTAATTTTAAAATTATCTAGTACGATTTTATTGTTTTATTCTTATAATTTACAAATTACCATTTAATGATATGTCGTATAAGTAAAAAAACAAGATACTATTTTACACCCTTCCAAGATACACATTTATATATTATTAATGTTCAAAAGATTACCCTGTATTATTAAATATTGACACATGCATTCAAAAGTCTACTACGATTTTACTTTGTTCACTAAATCTCTCAATATTATTCAGTTATAAAATTTTAACGTTCTACTTTTGTTACCTTAATATAAAAATAATAATAATTTTATTAAATTCAAATTTTTGTTGAAAAAATGAAAACAAATTTTCTATTATATAAGAAACTAAGTTTTTTTGTTTGGTAGGAAAACCCTAAAAAAGTGGAGCCCGTTACGGACTCATACTATCCCTAAAAATTTACGTTAAATTCAGCTCTGATGAAAAGAGGCGTATTTATGGTGGAACTCGTGAGACGTAAGCTCTTAATTTTAATTATTGAGATGATATTTTTAACTCAGCTGTACATGTAAAAAAGGTCATCAAATTTTTTTTTTTTTTTTAGCTCACACAAAAAAAAATCCTTATTACACGCTTAAATTTTAAAAATTTATTCATACATGTTAGCTGTTTTAGTGTTAAAAAACTCTATGATATAATTATTTCATGTAAAATTATATTATATTAAATAAATAAAAATTAAATTACTTTTCTTCAATATCTTTAGCTTTGTCTCTAACTTCATGGGCATTCTGTTCTTCATCAAAGTAATATTTTTTTGTTTTATCTACATCTTGAACTGAAGAATGTAATTCTTTTTGAACTTGAGCTAAATGATCTGTGCACTAAAAAGTTATGGATTCTTTTATTTTTGTATGTTACATTATAGTGGATTATTTTTAGCTTCGATGTTAAGGAAGATATTAATTTTACAATGATGTGTTTCTATATTATTATTTTTTTATGCATAATATTTGTTCTAACTAAGTAATTTTAAAAATAAAAAAAATTGTTGTAGAGAGGATAAAAAAAATTCCTTTCACCTGTGTATCGAAATTGAACCCAAGTACTTACGTTCCAAGGCACAACGTTTTCTTAACTTAACTATATAAGTCGCTTTATTAATAGATTATAGTAATTCATCTTGTCGGTGGACAAAGTGAATGGCACCTTTATAATATTATAAGGATGCCTTATTAAATTACAATGTATTTTGGAAAAAAATTAAATGTATTCTATACTGTTAGTTTTTTTTTAATTACGTTACGAAGCTAAGAAAGTTTTCGTTAATATATTTAGTAAAAATATTAATACAAAATACTAAGTCAGTAGAAATAACATTCTAAAGAAATTTAATTATACTCGGTCATTTTCTGTATATTACCTTTTTAGCTATTTGAAGTTTATGTGATCGTAATGTCTTTGCTTCGTCATTTATCTTGTTTTGTAATAATTCAATGGCTTCTAGACGTGCTTTTGCAGCAGATTCATTTTCTTCTAGAACTGTTCGCCAAACATTCCACATATTCCTAAATATTTATATTTGGTGTTATAATATACTATCTTTAATTTAATATATTTTATATAACTTCTAGGTAAATTAAATTTAATCGAATATATTCGAAAAAATGTTACACAAATTAAAACTTATCACTAACCATTTTTCTTCGCTACCTTCAGTCTTGATATCGGGTATGTTAGCAATTTTTTTATTTAGAAAAGCTACAGATATTTTCAGTAATGCCTGTATAAAAGTATATTAAATATTGAATTATATATTTCTTTTTTTGTACATAAATCTGAATTACTTACATCTGAATAGGATTTTTCTATTGCTGATTTTTTTATCAAAAAACTCCTGGAAATTGTTTAAATTTGAGATTAACCTTTTTTTGCCTGAAAAATATTTTTAAATTATGTATATTACCTTATATCTTCTAATAAATCGCATTCATTTTGATTTTTTAAATGTAGTTTAGCAATTTGTTCTGAGTGTAAGTTTTTCAAAAACTTAACATAATTCCCCTGTAAAAAAGTAAAGTACTTTTATTATTTGTTATTAAAATGTTTTAGTAACAAAGAATATCTGTCGGGGCCAACAATTTGAAAATTTGAAAAACTAACCAAAAAATGTACAGGGCTTAATCTTATGCTCTATTTAATGACTAATAGGAAGGAAGGATTGATGTATCTACGATTGGAAATAACAATGTTAGATTAATGATAAAATTTTTGCTACAAAATAATATACTATTTCATGTAAAGATTAAATTTCACTAAAAAAAATTAACTCGTGGCTTAATCCTGTTACTAAATATTGAAGCTTAGCCATGTAACGTTATAATATCCAATAGTAATTGCAATAGTTTTTGTTCAATGTGCATACGCTCTTTTTAATACTTGGTAAAAAAATTAAATTTTTAGTTAGAAGTTCCAAAGTAAAGTTCAGTGTTCCTTCCATTAGCACGTTATGCTTGACATTTTGATTTTTTTAAACAGGCAGAATTGTCACGATACCCTTTTAATAAAAAGAGAATTTTTTTATTATATATTTTAATAATTAATAAAATACTTTCAAATACTTCCAATCTGTATTAAGAGAAGCTAGATGGTAGCATCCCACGACCCATCTCTAACTTAACTCGACTGACATGATATGTGTTATATAAAAATACAGTTTTTTACGATTTTATTTTGTTCCAAAATATTATTCCAAAAATTATAATTTAATGACTAACTATTTTAACCATTTTTTTTACATGATTGATTCCAAATCACTTGAACATTAGTTCATTAAAAAAATTACATTGTAACCAAAATTAGTGAATTTATTAAATAAAATATCATTTTTGAAAAGTTTTTAATTCTTAATTATATGAATTTATAAATTTATAAATACATATCATTAGTCAGATTTTTTGAACAAAGTTGAATAATTTATTGAAATCTACCCAAATAGCAATTAAAAAAATATATTATAAAAATAAGTGTTATTAGGGTAAGGAATAAGTTGTTATTAAAGTTATAGTTTTTGGAAATTAGATATTTACTCCTCTTTAAACAAAACATATTTATAGGCTAATATATATTTCTTCAACAAATTTGGGACTCTTCAAAGTGACTAAAATAAAAAAGTATAAATGCATACATTTTTGTTTTTTAATGCATGTATCTGTGAAAATAACTGTTTTATAAATGCAATAGTTAGCTATTCATAGTAAAACTACCTTTGATATAATTTTTGTATTTTAATCTTAAAAATTAAAGCATAAATGTGCTATATTAATTTATATAACTAATAATAAATTGTTACATAGGATAAAGTTGTGGGGAACTTAAGGGGTTTTTCCTCCAAAAACAAACATTTTTTTCGCTATATATTTATCTGTAGCAAATTAGCACATTCTAACGTTTCTCTAAAGTATCTAAAGTATCTCAAACAAAAATTATTTATGTAAATAATTCTATACTTTAGTAATTAGTATTGTAATTCCACAAGAAATTTAACATAAAAACTTTTGAGAAATTTCTGAAAATGATGACCTTTTATTCTATTACATATTTTTGTCAATCATCTCAAAAATGCAGTTATAAATAACTATTTACTCCATATTGTTCAATTACTAGAGCAAGTAACTGATTTAAAAAATTATTTATAAAAGATAAAATAATCGGTCTCAGTTAATTATGATTAATATTATTGGTAATCAGTGACACAACTACAATAATCATAATTTATTAATTATTAAATCGCCAGGAGGTATAAATATACATTATGTGTTATAAATATGAACATTTTTCTTCGCGAAAATAAATTTATTTAATATTAATATTATTCTCAATATAAGCATGAATTTAAATTACAAAAATAAAAAAAAATGATTTGATTGATATAATAATAATAATAATTAATAGAATTAAAACGAATATAAAGTAATAGATAAAAGAAAATTATACATGTAATATGAATTATTTTTCTACTGTAATTAAAAAATATTGCAGCATTATAAAATATAAAATACATAAATATAATATGGATATAATTAAATTTAACTATGTGTTAAATAATTTAATTGTAGGTCATCAATTTACTGCTATCAAAAAGTTAAGTTATGGACTGTAAATATAATATTAAAAAAGTGACATAGTTTATATGTAATTTTAACTTACTTTTCTAGGAGGTGGTTGCATTTCGCTGAAAAACGAACAAGAATAACCGGAATACTCACTTATACACACAAAATGTTTTCTTGCCAACACCCGATCGAACACGGCGCGCAACGCCACCACAACAACGATTACCCTCTTTGCCTTTGGTTCGACGTCGATTTTTCCATTTTCATTTAATCGCGCTTTCTCATAACTTGCCTGTGCAAGTTTAACAGTGTTGCCACCACGTCTAGAATGGCTCAAAACTCCTTTTAATATTTAAAATAGCAAATAATAGACGAACAATTATTTGATTTTACTATGACAGAACTAAATTCGAATATTATTAATCAATAATGTTTAAGTCATAAGTCTTGATATTCACTTTACTTGTAGTAATAGGTAGTTTTTAATATTTTCAGTTTTGGTTCGAATTAAGAATATATATATATATTAATAAGGTAAATTTTCATTCCTCTAAAAATGTTCAAACAAAATGGTTTGATTTTAATTAATACTGATTAATTTTTTCTTTCTTCATGTTTTGTATAAAATTTAATTACTCACAGATCCAGATTTAAAAAAATATGAATATTCATTATCTTTGATAAAATTTTAAATGCTTTCATAAAAACAATTTTTTTTTTCGATTAATAATTTAAGTATACCTCTTACAAAAATATCGTCTATCCTCTCTAAATCTAAAACTGATTAAATGTATACACAAAAAGTATAACACAATTTTAGGTAATTTTATATTTTTTCCCTTTATTTGTGAAGAAAAATCTAGATTACATTTGTTTCAAATGATAACTCTTATTTTAAATATGATAAATTTCTTTATAAATCGAAATATACAAATATATATAATTAAATATATGGGTGTTCAGTAGGTAACAAGTTTTTATTGTTCTTATTATCTACAATAACAATTTACCTGTTTCCTTACTTAATGCTCACTTTGTATAAATATATACAGGCTGGCCCACCACTCACTGACAACTTAAATAACTTTTGATCCAGTTAATATTAGCTTCGATGCGAAGCTGAGAAGGTATTGGTTTTACTAAGATGTGTTTTTTTTTTTTTTTT